CAAAATCCGACCAACAGGAAGGCAATTGGCATGTCGGCGTGCCAGAGAGCAGATCCCATGACTGATCGTGCCCGACCTCGTCTTTTTTACCGACGTGGGCGCTGCTTACTGAGTGATTCTCATTCTTCTTGTGCTTTTTGGTACGCGTGGGGTTCACGATAAGAAGATATTGATTTAACCTGCTAACCCCCACCGCCGCCGGGAATTTACCCGGTTAATGACTAGTAAAAGGGAGCGAGGCCACTTTGGACTCAAGTGATTGTGCTGAATGACCGCCATCGTGGGTCTAGATCCTCAGAGTCAGCCCGGAAGTCCCTTCTGCAGACTTTTTTTTTTTTCTAGGATCCTTTACAGGGAAAAGTTAGACTAGTGCTGGACTACGACCAGCTGGCTAAGGCCTGCGGCTAAAGTGAAGATCCCGCGGATCGCCTCATGGGATCGAGTTCAGTGCGCTCTGGTACATTCATCCAGACCCGATAGATACACAGTTATCATAGATAATACAATCCCTTCTATTTTGATTCCAAAATCCCACTCCTTGTCTCCCTCTCTACTTCCACCTGGATCACCTATCAACCTTCTATTCTACTCAACTGGCTAGTACTCCACGGCAGCAGACGGGATGTTGGATGTCCCCCTACTATCCATCCTCGGGTATCATCGAATTGGGGGTGCAGAACGCTAGTGAACGACTGACACATGGAGCGGACAGATCTGATAATGCCAATCCATGCTATTCATAGGGACAGAACCTGACCTTTAGCGGGTTTTGCGGGGTTCATGTTCATGGTCATGGTCATGCTCATCCTCCTCGCCATCCTCTGGCTCAGGACGCGCACGAGAAGTGACATCCGCAGGGATGAATTCCTCCGTGAAAGTCAGCTCCTCGTGCTCCAAGGGGATAAACCGAACTTTGAGACGCTTGACTCCACGCACGCCTTCCCCGACCGCAGTGCGGATGGACTCCTCGACCTGCCGGGTTCGGCTGACAGACCACGCGCCCGGCACAGCGATCTCGACATCCATCAGATAGTTCTGTCCGGACTTCATGCCCTGCACATCACGGACCTTGATGGCATCACCACCCTCCAGTTTCGCCAGCATCTTAGCCGCGGCTTTCTGTACTGATTCCTTGATGTCATCGTCAACGTTCGTATCAGCGAGCTCCAGCAGCGACGTCTTGGTGTTTCCCCATCCGGCCTTGATGACCATCAGCGAAATCAACAGTCCACCCACAGGGTCCAGCCAGGATGCGTCTTGGAAGAGATAGGTGCCGCCAATCGTAAAGAGAGCGACGATACTGGTCAAGGAGTCGATGCGGTGGTGGATGGCGTTGGAGGCTAGTACCGAGGATTTGCGTTCCGTAGCAACTTTCATCGCTGGTGGGGAAAGGAGCAGTCAGCGATCGCAGTTAGTGTTAGGGCAGGGATTCCTCAAGGTACTCACTAGCATGATATAACCACTCCTTCACCACGATGGACCCCGCAGCAAGCCATGCGGCATGAATGCTCGGGCCCATGGCCTCAACGCCGTGGCTATGCGAGTGACCGTGTCCCAGGGCGCCTACATGCGCGATCGCCTCCGCAGCCTGGGGGTAGAACTGATCCAGCAGAACTTGGCCGGAATTGAGGCCCATGAACACACCTCCGCAGAGCAACAGCCCGCTAACCCCTAATGCTCCGATGCTTTCGATCTTGCCATAACCATTAGGAAATCGCTCGCTCGGCGGCTTGAGCGACCAGGCGACCGTGCCCAATGTCAGGAAATCGGAAACTAGATCGGTAAGGGCGTGGTAGGCGTCGGCGATGAGAGCTTGGGAATGGAACACGTAGCCGCCGATGAACTTCCCGATGGCCATGGCGAGGTTAGCGAGTAGGCCAAGTCGCGTAATTCGCACACCAGCATCATGTTTGTCGGTAGAGGTAAGGTAGACGTTTCCGTGATGGTGATGGTGATGGTGGTGGCCATGGTGGCCACCGTGGTCTCTGGATTGGGTGGTCATTGGAGGTAGGGTCACGGAGGTAGCGGAGGTGGCTGCGGCGATGGAAGGGACTAGAGTCGGACGTGTGACGGGACAGAGCAAAGCATTGGAGGAGGAGACAACCGGAGAATGAGAGGAGGAGACACTAGGGTTCTTATGGCGCAGACGCGAGAGCGAGGACGAGGACGAGACTCGCAGCTGAAGAGCCCTGGGGAGAAGAACAATGCCGGATCGTCTCCCAAAGGCACAGGCCGGCCGTGATAGCGGAGGATGGGCCCTGCACCACAAGGGCTGCGTCAGCATCCTCGTAGTGGCTTGTCTAATGGACCAGGTTCTGCTGCAATTATATTATTTTGGGTTGCAAATACACGGAGATGTGTCCGGACTGAAACAGCAGCTCCATGGTGGTGCAGTGGATTGTTTGGAGAGAAGAGGAGTAGCCGGAAAGCCTGATTGTCATTGCGAGTCACTCCGTCATGGCTTGTCGGTCGAATCCCCGGCTGAGGCGATGCCGACATGCGCTGACGATTTCGGCCCCGGAGTTGATCCACTGATCGCTTTCTCGATAACAATCTTCCCCTAATTCCGGCGGCTATGATTAGCAGACCCTGCCATTCTCGCTGACAGACGAACTGCACACACGAGACCAATAACCTCCCAGGTAATGCAATCTCGATAATGCTGGACCTTTCTGTCCGATCTAGAGCGCTGTCTCCCTCCGTGACCTTTTCGCTCTCTCCGCCGATCCCTTCCCTCTTTACCCCTAAGAAGCAACGCAATCTCTGCTTGGCAACTCCTCCAGCTGCGTCACCGGATGCTTGTCATGATCCAGAGCCCCTCTTCGAACCGGAGACAAATATTTGCGTTTGAGGCATCCATAGATAGTCGGTTGGCGGAATTCTAGTGCCGAACGAAGGAGAAGCGGCGTCTTGGCGGGGATCAATCTTTAACAGAAGCTCCGCGACGGACGCTGACTTGCCGAACAGTAAGATTGCGTGCTTGTTAAGCTTAATAGTCTGCAGTATTCCACTAGAAGAGGTTCAGCGTATCAAAATAATAATCGCAGAGTGACCGTTTAAGACATAGTCCGCTGCGAACTTTATAATGGTTCATAGCTTAGACACACCAGCTGTTGTTAGGTTGACTTGAGCCAGATCTCGAACACGAGCTGTAACATGCTGAGTCTTGATTATTCGCAAATGGAAGGCTGTCATTGCACTGCCTGCAAGCCATTTCTTTGATGATACCCTCTGACTGGACACGATCTCGTGACTCGATAGTCATCAGGGCATCATTCACCGTTTAGCTTTGCTCAGCCTGCAAGACTGATGTCAAGTAGCCTTCGTAGAAGACAAGGCTGTCAGAAGAGCAGATATATAGACCGAACCAGAACCGAAATTATTGAAATGAGTCCATCATCAGGACAACCTAATATACTATAATACTGCAGATCTTGTTAGCACGATGGCTCATCGCCAGCGACGTTTCCCCATGTTCCTGCGCCGTCCCTTCAAAGAACCTACCCAAAATACCTCGGTCCCTCATCCAGACTTATTCAAAACCTTAGGTACCGCATCAAATAATACTCAAAGAGGTAACGCAGAACTCCCAACGGTCGGCGAATGTGCCGTCCATCTCGAACTGCTCGAAGTATTCCATAACCTGCGTATCCAGATCATCCAGTCGAAGGAGTTAGACCGCGTATTCAACCTCGATTCAAGCCGCTTATGGATATCGAAACATCGTAGTGAAACACAGAGGACGGAAAAATGGCATCGATTCGTGTCGCTTGCTGTTGAGAGATTCCAGGTCTGGATCCGTGCTGCGGAGAAGCAGCTTGAGCGTGATCGAAACAATGAAACGCTTATACTTCCCCCTGTTGGTAAGTTCACTGTCAACCATAATGGGCGTATCCATTTACTGAAACTGTCAGACATACTTATGGTTTGGCACGCATTCCTGCTCAATTCATCCGATTACAAGGAATCCTGTACAAGCCATCAGCTTAATCGAATTCAGGAACTGCCTTTCCCATGGGTTGTTATAGTAGGTTTGCACCATGGATTGATATACACCGCATACTAATCAACTATTACATTGCAGCACGACTGCATCAACCCAACCAATTGGTCATATACCCTCCCCAGCCAGAACAAACAATGGCTCGAATCTACAGCAAACATAACAACAGACCCTCTTGTCAGTCTCACAGACGCTAATCGCAGAACCCAGTCCACACCAGACCAATCAAACCAAGAAAAACATCCATCAATACCTCCCGAAAACGAAGCCCTTCTACACAACGTCCTCCGCCAAATGAACTTCATCGACCAGATGCACGACTGTCTATGGATCTCTTATCCTGATGCCGAAGAAATACTAGAGACTGCTCGAAAACGCTACAACAACTTCGTCGAGTTATTTCGTCTTCATCCCGGCGTTATGTTCGTTCCAACGTTGGATATAGATCTAGTCTGGCATACGCATTTGTGTAGTGCGGCACGGTACAGGGGATTCATGATGGAGAGGGTGGGGCGGTTTATCAACCATGATGATAAGTTGGGGAAGGGTGCGCTGGATGATGGATTTGAGAGGACAAAGGAGCTGTATGAGGAGCTGGAGAGTCGTGGGGGGGCTAATATGTGAGAGATTAATTTGGTTTGTGTTATGATATGAATAATGTGGGATGATCACAGACAGAATAGAGTGCTATCGGACGGTGGTCTGGATTATTTGTACTATTCTAGATACTCCTTGTTGGACTGATTTTCAGAGCCTGGAACAAGTGGATGGAAGAGGTGTGCTATGGTCTGCACACTTGGTTCGTGTCTTCAAATTATGTGATAGTATCCGAGGTCATTAGTAGTATCTCGATACGGTGAAAAGTGCTCCATGGACAAATAGGGTTTTCTTCAGTAGAGATGACCAGAAAAAGGAAACTTAACAGAATTTGTTAAACCCGCTGGCAAAACAGCTTTGCAGGCTTTGTCCAAGGTCAAGATCTCTAGGCTTCATCCTGTCAGCCATCACTTTCCCCTAGATTGCCGTAGATAACCCCAATAGACTGAATACTGGAGAATTCAAGCCGAAAGTAGAAGCCTTTGATATAACAATTTTCTGGGGTTTCGATATTTCGACTGCTGTACCCCTCCTCTGATACTGAGGATAAGGAAGAGCATTGCCGGCCCCGGTTGGTCTTGAGCTACTCACAATGAGCCGATGAAGTAAAATTGGCAAACAAAAGTAGATTTACTTACTTTAAGTAGCGGAAAATCGTAGAATGGATGCATGCGAACAACAACCCCCGCAAGAAACTCATCCGGTCCGTGTATTGGTAAGTAATCCTTATCGCCTGCGTCATCACCAACGATGCTTGTCCCCGACGAGTCATGTATAGCGACACCAATTATCACATCTGTTTCGCTGTAGATCGTGACTCCCGAGAGATCTTGTGTTATCCACAGAGCCTCGACGGTAAAATTCCCAAATGCAGACTTAAGATGTGTCTCCCAGTAAGGGTACAGCGGAAAGTAATATTTCTTATCAATATCACTCTTCCAGAATGTGTTGCTATTCCGCACTAGAAGGGTTTCCTCGAAAGAAGGGGTAGTGTCGGAGCACCACCCAATATGTCTGAATTTGACTGCCTGCGTGTTATGATTAACTTTGGTAACCATTCAGTAGTGGTATGCCTCAGTATGGAACACATACGTCTCGCACAATCCTAAGCCTCCCTTCTCGTCTCCTTATACTAAATCCTTCCCAGCATTGAGCGCTTTTCGGATCCTCAAAGCTCCACGCTGAATGACCAAACTTTAAGCTTCTAATACCAAAAGCGTCCGCCAGAAAACAGACAACGTCAACCTGGGTGGAAAGAATCTCGACTCGAGAGACTAGGTTGGAGTGGTGACCAACGTGCTGATGAGTGCTTCTTGTCAGAAAGTCAATTCCGCAGACGTAAACATAATCCTTGATTCTAATCCCATAGACCGTAATTACTTCGAGATCAGTCGGCAAGTCTGCGAAAGAATTCCATAATCCGTAAGCATGGTTGACCAATGTCTTCGTAGCCCATATCTCCACAGTCGGCGGTGTCGATTCTGTAGCAATGTAGCGTATTAACTTGCTCAATACTCTTATCCTAGACACTACCTCCCATCTCAGATCGAGTCCTTCATTGTGTGATTTGGGAAACCTGAGAGAAAGAACAAGCAGCAGTTGGCGCTTAGATATACCTTCATTGTCAGCGGGAATGCACCGGTAGAACTGGTCTGATTTTGTGCGCATAAACGAATCCCCATAATCCAACGAGATCTTGCTGGTGCAAAAAAGCCGAAAGAGATCCGTCGGGGACAAGTATTCGAGGATCATGGTCAAAATTTCAGCCGGAAGTGCAAGCAGTTTTGAATCACAACGAGCAGACTTTGTCTCCATGTACGGCCCAGTGCAAAGCGTCGCAAGGTCAGAAGGAATTATAGCATCATGTGGATCAAGGCAACCTGGAAGTGATCTCAGCATGTTATGGAATATCCGCAAAAAGCTATGTCATACTGCGTAGGTTGAGTTGTGCGTGGTGCCCAAAATATCTTTGAGTATCTGGCTGTAATGCCTGGCATAATCGGAACAACTCTTCAACTCCTAACTGCGATGTAGTTTGCTCAAGAAGCACACGATAGCAAGATGTATGGATGAACAAGCATTTCGTTACTGTGGTATCACTGCAAGGAACCACTTGAACCCAATCCGTTTGTCCTTTAGCCTCATCGGATGATACCTCCTGATAATCATTGGGATTGCTGTAGCGCATATGACCATGGTAAAGTTTGCCACGTTCATGGTACACTAGATAAAGTCTGTTAACAACTGAGAACCCGGAGAAGATTATACTTTACCTATTTCAAACTCCCTTGTCCAATTTGCAGCGCCCAGCCAACCCGAACAGAGCATGCAATTTGTAAAAACAGAGTAGTGTGGCATGGTGTATACGAGGAGCAAGGGTGAGTTTTACAGAAAAGCAGAGAGTGGCGATGAAGTTGTAGGATGGGGTCTCAAGCTATATACTACTCAGGGACAAAGAAGAGGCAGTAGTGAAGAATACTGATGTGTTACCCATATGAGTAGTGAATAGAGCTCCACCGAAAGATAACAATCCCCAACACTGAAGACCAGAACCTCAATGTGTCACTGCTTCATTCGATTAAGCCAGAATCAATGCTCATTCAACGGCTTATAAACATCGCTATATCCAATATATTCATCACTGAACTAAAGGAAACAATGTTCCAAGGTATGTTGAAGTATCTAGTGTGGCACTCCCAGAGTCAACGCTCGCGTGTTCTATTATATGCATCCCTATCTTTCAATATAGAAACTGGAAAGAAGTGTTCAACCCTTCAAAATCTTTCCTTGTTTATTCTGAAGTTCCCATAAGACCCAAGAATTAATTATCGATGTAAATACACCAGATACAGGGTGGGGGATTTTGAGCATAAATTCAAAGTTGCATATGAGTGTTTCGTATCCTAAACACTGCGAAAAGAAAATTAGAACGATCAATAGATGTTAACAATTAGTAAACTCATATCCATTATACTCCTTGGCATACATCAAATAGTTGGAGTAACTATCATGAGTTGGGGTAATTACCTGGCTTTGGTTAAGGAACATGTCCTTTGATCCCCTGCCAACAACGTTTCACAACATCTGATCGATAGAGCTTCATGGAGATTTTGGAGATACCCAGGACTAATCTGTAATCATTGTCAACAAGTGCCTTGTTGTAATCCCGGGTTAGAGCATTACTAAATCTCTTATTGTGGACCTTGCCAAAACCTGTTGTAGGATGAATTCCTCCAACATGAGTTTTAGTTCTACTTGTGCCCCTAGTGATATCTGCTAGTTTTATGGGGTGCAGCTAATATGTTTCCTTAATTAAAAAGCGGTTCTGCGCTAACGCGACCTTAATCAACCATGATTAAGCCAGGCTCTCATCAAATCCTGATGATGGCATTGCAGCTTGTTCTAGATGTTATGCTGGATAGTGTACGAATTTTTCCATACCTAGGATGAATCTTTCTGGTCTAATCTGTTGCTCGCTTTCTGTTCTATTTGCGGGTCCCTCAAATTACTAACCTTACAGAAATCTATGTACTCAATACGTGACAAGTGCTGTGTCGACTTGACCGGCATGGTTGTGACTGAGATGATAAGATCACCCACATCCGCTACCAATTATTTTGAGGTTTTGTATTAGGGTTAATGACAAATAACTTGGTCTTCTTCTTCTTGGTACCTTTCTTGGTGCCTTACATTCTTAACCCCAAATGCGTTATATCTAGAACATAACTATATAAGATTTCCGCCTTGTAGCCTTCCACTTTGCTCCTGAAGATGATATGATTTCAATACATAGATTCTCGCATCTACACCCATCAAATGACCCATACCCAATACTGGAACTACAGAACTACACTGAAGTTGATCGTCATATCTGATGCAGTATCAGTTGAAAATTTTGAGTTGCGAGACGAAAAGCCGAGAGTGGTTGACGCAGGTTGGGGTAGACTCTTCCTAAATCTGGGTCGCTTCTCCGAATGATTCCAGCGGCGAAGTTGGAGTAGGTTCAACTCAACCTGACAAATACATATAGATAGATGCCTTGTAAGGTTAATTATTGTCCATGCCGTCATATAATAATCGACATATAAAAATGAGCTAGATTCATCCATTCTTGAGCTATGTGATAATCCTTCAAGCCTCCTTACTGAGTAATAGTTATACGACAACGTCTTGGAAAAGCTTCGGAACTCCTTTGGGCGGGCTCCAATCTTGATCAAGTTACTTATTCTGCTCTTCGATAACAACCGTATATAGTCTCATCCTTAATCAAATCTACGCTTTTCATACTCTTAAAATCGGGCGCCAGCACAGCCGTATCGGAGAAGCTCGTGGGACTTCCCCAATGGGCAGGATGTTGGAGCAAAAGCCAGCTGCAGAAATGGCAAGCCATCACTGAAGAAGTTCACAGCAAGGGTTGCTATATCTTTCTGCAGCTTTGCTGTGCAGGTCGCACGGCAGACAAGGGATTTCTCAAGCTCTCATCTGGCAATATCCCCCTCGAGGCTGAAGTCAGTGCCATAGAGACTGAAGATGATGACAGACCACCGGAGCCGATGAGCGAGCAGGAAATTCATGACGCCATACGCGACCACGGCACTCTGCCCGCAATGCCATAGCCGCCGGCTTCGATGGCGTGGAGCTTCACGGTGCTAATGGCTACCTCATCGATCAGTTCATCCAAGAATCTTGCAATAATAGGACGGATAAATGGGGTGGCTCGGTTGAGAATCGCTCGCGCTTTGCACTCGAAGTCACTGCCGCGGTTGTTGATGCTGTTGGTGGTGATCGTGTTGGCTTCCGCATCAGTCCTTGGAGCACATACCACTCTATCGAGCCTCGGAATCCGGAGTCTCAGTTCACTCATCTGGTTACTGAGTTGCGGAAGTTGGACCTGGCTTACCTACACGTCATTACGTCTCGTGTGGACAATTGGTACGATGTGGACCGTGTAAAGCCTCTGGATTTTGTCTTTGATAGCTGGCGAATAGACATACCTGTCATCATCACTGGGGGGTATGATGGAGAGTCTGCAAAGCGCGCTGTTGAGGAGTATAAGGACTTCAAGCTCGCCGTTGGATTCGGTCGGTCGTTCGCTTCAACGCCTGATCTTGTGGCTTGCATTAGGAAGGGTATCGCACCAAACCCTTTCAATGGCGACCTAGCCTATACTCCCGGTACCCCAATAGGGTACATCGACTATCCTTTCCTATCATAAGTTTGGATTTAAAGGCGCTATGCCCTTGAGCCAGCATTCTACATACATTTTCTTCAGATCATGATGCATCTCCTCGTCCGTCCTCAAACCTCTGTAGCTTTCTCATCATCAGTGCCTTCTATGTCGATCCAGGGAATGCTTGTATATAGGCCTTTCGCTGCCAGGGTACCCTGTCGATCTTAACCATCCGAATATCCCACGTGTGGCTTCTTCGGAATGTGCCTGTGAGAAGAAACTTATACGTAGAATGGTCGCGCACGGGAAGGTTCCTGTCATGAGTGGGATGTCCTGCTTTGTATGGCGGTTGGTAAGCTTTTACTGCTGGATTTCGGATGGAATAGCCATTCTCCAGAATCCATTCCCAGCATTCATACTGAAGGGAGGAAAGAGGTGCTGTTGCCGGTCAGGGGAAATTATATAAGCACGCATGCTGCGTACGCATTCATAGTGAGAGTAGGGCAATGTATAATACTAGTAGTATAACTCATGCTTATCACTCGTCGGAGTTGTTATTACCACTATTCATGTACTATCTCTCGTGACACTTTCAAGCTTCCGCTATGGTCTTCATCATCTATCCCAACCACCAACACATTTCTATCTTTAGAACAATGTTCGGCCTTAGATATGTCCTAGGACACGGCAGAAGATAACTCTAAAATCTTGTCGATCATGAGATCTGTTGTTGGAAACATTGACTGGAAGGAATAGAGCCATGTCCTTTGACACTCCGGACAATGTTGCGCGCCAAACCAACATAATGAAGCAAGACCTTATGATTTTGGACTAAATCGCAACATCTCCCGTTGCCAGTAAATATTCCAACATCACAAATGCAAGCGGTTCCAAGCGGGTGGAAAATGTCTGGGTCCTTGCTGTGATGGCGGATGGGGTGCCTGGGGCCAGCCAATGCCAACCCGTCAATCTAGCGCCAGCTGTGCGTGCCTCGTCTCTTTGGCGTCTCTCCCCTCTTCCCCTCTCCATGGCGGCAACCACTCGATATCACATCTCCTCTCACGCTATCTTCTCTAGCGCAGCTTCCATGCAGTGTCATTGCTCATCACACTGGGCGTCTGTCGGGTCGGCCAAGTCCAACCCATGGCGTATACTAACCGCTGCACTTTTCCAGCACGACACGCTGGAATCTCAGCACAGTCTGATCCGTTGGGATTCAGATAAACACGCAGGACTTATTGGCTAACAATGTTTCATGGGGTGATTCCAAGTCGCGACATTCGTGGTGTCTCCCGAAAACCATGGCCTCGAAAGGTGCTTCATTGATAGGCCCCAGTTACCTGCTGCCTCCAACCATACAATATAAATATCCAGCCATCGACATGATCCGGAACCTGCTTCTCTGCCTGTTCAATCTTATCATTCAAGAACAATCTTTATGCCTGGTGCACATATTTTGGTATATACCTCGTGCTCATAAGTCGTCATAATGATCGACCTCCTTGAAGTGAAAAGACGCTACGAAGCCGTGCTGGCAGTTGAAGATAGCAGAGACAAGATTCTTCAGGTACTTTTCTTCATAGCATAACGCATATTCAATTTATTAACCTCTTCTTCGACAGAATCTCTTTGCCCAGGTCGAAAGTCTGCAGAGGGCCCTTCAGAACACGCTTGGTGATGCGAAGTTCCAGGAATTGAAGAAGTATAAAACAGAGTACGACGACTTGCGGCTTGACCAGGTACTTCTTCCCTCCTGAATGTCTCGCTTCCTTAGGCTCATACAGTTCCGCAGTCCAAGTTAAGTTTTGTTTCTGTGCTTGTCGACGGTGACTGCATGAATGTAAGTAAACGTCCCACAGTTGTCTCGTCCCCTACTGACAACTCAGTTCAACGATGCTCTCATCCGACAAGGCTACAATGGCGGACGCAAAGCTGCCATGCTTCTCCGAAAGTCCGTCGAGCGTCACATCCGTGATATCGATCCACAGGCTAGCCCAAACATCCAGTACCGTATTCGGGTGTACGCCAACGTTCCGGGCCTGATGAAAACGTATCGGGAAGCGCACATCTTGCGTTCCAATGAAGCGCTAGATCCTTTCATTCGGGGGTTCAATATGGAGAACAGCCTGTGCGATTTTATCGATGCAGGAAACGGCAAGGAGTGTTCAGACGTCAAAATACGGGGTACGCTGCCCTGTTCACCAAAATATGGCATGTACTAACCGCCATCATAGCAACATTCGAACAAGACATCCTAGACGTCCACTGCCGTCGCATCATCTTCTGTGGCTCGACCGACAATGGCTACGCACGCATCCTCGGCTCCCACCAAGGATCCAACCGCATCTCGCTCGTCCAGGGAGCACCCTTTGCATGGGAAATGGAGCAGCTAGCAAGCGAGTTCCAAACCACCTCCTTCCCCGAAGTCTTCCGATCCACGAAGCTACCCTCCCGAGCATCATCCTTCAGCGCATTCAAAACCGCATCCGCCAACTCGTCACCCAGCAGCTCTCCAACCAGCCTCAGCACGCCCTCAACGCCAAAACGCAACTACGCCACAATTGCCAAGTCGAACCTCCAGGCGACATCCCCCACCAGAACAAACAGATCCAAGCGATCGAAAATCTCAGTTATAACATTCGATATCTCCCCCTCATACGACACCCATATCCAATTCAACACAGTCCAGCTTAACAGCCAGAGCCAACGGGTTGACCCGCCACCCCGGGCCAGCAGCAGAGAGAACTTTGAAAGATTACGAAGGTCGAAGTACTGCAGTAGATATCATATCCTGGGAGAATGTCCCCTTGGCGATGAGTGCGGACATAGACACGGACGCCGACTCGGATCCAGGGATGTTCATGACCTCTGGTGCGTTACTCGGACGTGCGTCTGTCCGAATGATATCTGGTGTACGGATCCCAAGTGTATTTGTGGACATCAGTGTCCGTGGGAGAATCAGCAGGGACATTGCAGTGCAGACTGCAAGTTTCCCGAGTCGATGCATGGGGTTGATAAGTCGGTTGCGCTGATTTTGTAGTAGTGGCTTAATTATCTGATGAGAATGAGTTCCCTGGAAACCATGTTATATACACCATCATCAATCACATCATTATATTCCTTATTATATCCATCCCTCCAATAACTAAATCTATAACGACGCTCTAGCCTGACGATCGCTTCACACTATCAGAACAGTCACATGAATTTTTGCATAAATATCTCTTTTTTACAAATAATAGACACTCCAGTCTAGTCACAAATCGAAATGGGAAAAGAGAGAAGAGAGAAAAAAACCCACTAAGCAAACAAAAACTTCGCCGCATGTTCCACATGATCATCCGAGAACGTCGCCATAGTATAATAACTGTGATCGTAATCAGGCTGGTACCGAATCGTCACGCCCTCCACACCAGCCTCCTTGGCAGCTTTTTCAAAGTTCTCGGGAAGAAGTTGGCCCTGCTTGTAGAAGTTGTCTCCGGTGCCCTGTACACACACACACAATCATCAGTACAGCCTACAAGGGGGGAAGAAGGTGTGAACATACAACATCAATCAAAACATCCAATCTGCCACCCTTCCACTTCTTCAACAATTCCGTTGCATCATGCTCCTTCCACTTCTCCTGCTGATCTTCCCCAAAGTATCCCGAAAAGGCCTTTTGTCCCCACGGGCAGTTAATCGGGTTGGTGATGGGCGCGAACGCAGACACGGACTTGTATTTGCCGGGGTTGCGGAGGAACTATCCCAATTATTAACTCTAAAAAAATCCCCCAACATCATAGATAATTAAACGGGGGAAGGTAGAAGGTATATACGTACCAAAGTCAAAGCACCATGTCCACCCATACTATGACCCGTGATACTCACCCGCTCACTATCCAACTGCGGAAAGGCGGCAAACACCGTCGCGGGCAATTCCTCCGTGATGTACGTGTACATGTTATATCCGTTGTCGTAGGGTGGCTTGGTCGCGTCGACGTAGAAGCCGGCGCCAGTGCCAAAGTCGTAGCTGTCGGCTTCGCCGGGGATGTTGAGGCCGCCTATATCCCCCCACATCCAATGTATTAGCATACTCCAATTACCATATTTCATGAGGATAGATGTGATAGAGTTCTTGAGATAAGCAGAGGGGGGAAAAGGTAGCGGGGGGACATACGAGGACTCGTATCAGGGTACAACACAGCAATACCCTTCTTACTGGCACCGTGCTGGAAGAAGCCCTTCTCGGAGCAGTTCTCGGCGGTGCAGGTCAAACCCGAGAGGTAGATCAGGACGGGGACCTTGGCGGACGGGTTCTGGTAGGCTTGAGGAGGTAGGTAGAGGTTGAAGCCCATTTCACATTTGGTGGAAGTGGCGGCGTGGGTGAGCTTCAGGAGCTTGCCGCCGAAGGAGGCGATGGTGGCTTTTGTTGTGACGGACATGGTTGTATGAATGTGTATACCGTTGGGTGTTGTGGATGGGGTAGAGATGGAGATAGGAAGGGAGGGAAAGAAAGGGTGGATGGTTTATTATATCAACAATGATGAGGGGAAATATCGGATGAGGGGAAAATGAGGGGCGGTGGATCCCCTCAAAACTCCGGAAATTTTTGCCGTTTGAAGTTATCGACGCTATCCCGGATTTATCATCGAGACAATCTGGATGGTTGAATAGATAGGTATGAAATGTAGAATTAAACTAACTAACTAACTACCTTGCCATGCTATGCCATAGGTATCATATTCCCTTCCCAAAGTAAAAGAACGCCAATGCTTATCCATCTCCAATAATTACGCCAAAAACACCGCGGGGATGCCGTAGATCACCGGCGCCGCTCCGTTCAAGTACCTCAACACACAGGCCTGCCGCGACTGGCAAACCGCATCATCCAAAGCTACTGCCTGCTCACGTCCCCCGACAAGGCCCCATTTCTCCAGCGTGCTCTTGGCAAACCGGTCAATGTCCTTATCCGTCACATCCCACAGAGTGGCCACCAAGGCCGGGCTCCCCGCATGCAAGTAGTTCATCGGCGTGCCGTACGGCTCGTACTCGCCGGCTTCCGTGAGAGCACCACTGCTGCAACCCATCAGGAATGTGATTGCGCATCGGTCAAGACGCTTGATCGTCCGCGCCCGGCAGTACTGTGCGCCACTGCCGTGCCCGAAATAAAGGAACACGTCGTTCGACTCTAATCCGTTCTTGAACTCTTCCTCTGTAGGCTCCCGGTTGGCCACTCCGCTCCACCCCTCCAACTTCAATAAGTCCTTCTCGAAGGTTCCCTGCGTGGTTTGCAGATCACCGGTGGGGTTGAGGAAATACGTGCCATTCTTGCGGTTGATCGTAAAGCCAGCACTGTATTCCGCACCTTCGTCGCGGAATCGCACGATTCGGTCGCGAAGACATTCCAAGGAGGGCACACGGCACACTGGGAATCCCTGGAGACACGGAAGGGACTCCCACGGGAACATATGCAAGGACTTGTCCAACACCAGAACAGTCCGATTGGGTGAAGGGTTGCCCTGCTCTTTCCGGACTTGCTCGTGATACCCCCTCAAAGAGTCAAGGGTTTCCACAACCATCATGTCAAAGTCAATCTCATCATATGCGTTGCGCTCACCCTGAAATTGCAAGATATCAACAACGAAGTAGAGAAGGTCCATCAGCGTCTCTTCGGGATCTTCTTGGTCATCCAGGTCCTTGACACCGATGAACAGTTCAAGCACATTCGGATGAAGTGTCAACCGCGGACTGGCTGCACGACCGCCCTTGCGGCGCGAGGGGAGATGCTTGTCCAGGATGTTATGGAATGCATCTGCAAATCGTGCAAGCGAACGAGTCTCGTGAGGGACCGGGGAGAATATTCCGCGGAATCCTCCGAACCAGACAGTCTCGATATGTTGCAGAAGAGCTTCCATCCGACGGTCCAGTGCTTCCCGGTTCTTCCACCAGTCCTTCTTCATCTGCCGGTCGGTTTGGTGCTTAGCTGCATGCGCACTTTCGTTGGCCAGTCGAATCAGCTCCTGCATATCTCCCTTTCCATCCTCGAATGTGTATTGCTCCTCCTCATCCTCCGAACTGCCACGCTTGAGAGGCAAACGCAACAAGAACGGCGAACGACCCTTTTGCAACCGAGAAACCACAAACTCGGTACGGTCAGTGCTTAAGGACAACGAAAGGACGTTCCAGTTCTCCGGAAGAATATCAACATATTCTTCGGTAAAACGGGAGCAGAGATCCTCTTCTGGTACCATTGCAGATTCAGCAGTCGGCCAAAGCAGGGGGTCGCAGTAATCCGCAAGTTGTTTGTCAAGAGTGATGGCAGCATGCTCCCGTGTAAACGCACCAATGCGGCCAACCTCGTTCACATTTGCTGGTGACTGAGAGAGCGAAACGAGGTTATCAAGTGCCGTGACATGGGTCAACATGGAGATACGGCTCATCAAACGAGAGGCGGCATGGCTGTCAAGAGTTGACCCGAGGGTCGTGGCAAGCGGAAAGATGGTATTCAGACTCTCGCTTGCTTTGGCGAGCATCACAGAAAAGTCCTCTGTCGGCTTGGGCGTCTTTGAGCGTGTGCCTCTCGTAGCCGTCTTTGCTGGCGCTCGTGTCCTGCGAGTGGTAGTTGTTTTACTGCTGCTGGTCTGACTCGCCGCCTTACTTGGCGACTGGAGCGATGGCAGGGAGATGGTCGATTCAGGGAGCACACAGTACACTGCATGAGTGGCGAAGTTCCGAATGGCATCAGCGAGTAGATGCTCACTTTCCCCAATGTGCAGGGAGATCTGACTGTCCCTAGAAGTTGCAAACTTGCGTGCATCCTCCAGCAAGCTGGACGCCTTTTCAAAGTCCCGTAGCGAACGTAAGCATGCTGCCTGCTGCCGAAGAATGTCACTCCGCAAATGAAGAAGTGACGTCGAATCTGTCTCTGTCGATTCGGAGCTGGCGCTTGACGTCTTGGGCGTGCTTATAGTTGCTGCACGAGTTCTGCGGGTCGTAGTCGCCGCCCGTTGCCTCGTCTTCCTAGCAGTGCCTTGGACCTGTAGCTTTTTCATCTTATCATTAAGGTCTGCCACACCCGAAAGAACGTCCAGTGACTCAGAAGCGCCACACTCAGCCATGAGCCTGTCAGCTTCGAGGAGAGCACGGTGTTCGTCGCGGTAACGACCCTGTGCTCTATGGAGAGAAGCAAGGCCGATCTGCAAAGAAACAAGCTCAATGCTGTTGTCGAGCTGCTTGGACAGTGACTCAGCCGCTGCAAGAAGCTCCTGTCCTTCCTTCATATGCCCACCATAGATCCAGTGCGAGCCAAGCTGCGCTTGTGACGCGATCAAGCGGACGTTGGCGTTAAGTGTCTTGTTAATCTTCAGCGCTTGCTCTCCGTAGTAGATGGCGTCCTGGAATAAGCCGTGGTGGGCGGAAAGGCTCGAAAGGTTCAACAGAGCCATGTGATGTGAACCAATATGAGGCCAAAACGGGGCACCTTGTGAGTACACGGCAAGGGTTGCATTCGCTTGCGAGACCTCGAGTTTCGCCATTCCTTCAACCACTGTTTCCAGCTCGGAGTTTTCGGCTGATTGAGCGATCTTGTCTTGTTTTCTCTGGGCGAGCTTTTCGATCTTAGCCCAAATCCTGCAATTCAGCCTGACAGACAGTTTGCCGAAAAACAGAGCATCATTGATTAAGCCCTGAGCGAAAGATAGTCGGGAGCTCATGAATGCCGCGTCGGCCACCAATCTCTCCCACATAAGCTTCGACAACACCGAGCAGGCGTTAAGATCTTCCTTCTTCTGGTTCTTCTCATAGAGAGTTCGGGCTGCTGAAAGTGTACTCGCTGCTTTCTGGATCTCACCAACTTCGAGAAGGTAGCCCACGCGAGCTAGCTTGTGTGAAAGCGTTGCCAAGCAAGAGATGTCGCGCTGGATGAGATATTGATCCGCTCGGCTCAACAGTTCGTCCGCCTTCGAACAGTATCCAAGGCGGCTGTACTGGAGGGCCAGTCGTGAAAGAACGATGATTGCTTCGGAGAAATCGCTAGATCCGCGAAGCTCCGTCACTCGCAAAACAAGTTCGAGCGTCGAAAGCTGCAACTTCCATAGTCCATGAATCTCGGTATAGTCGACGATAGCTTTCATTTGAAGCAAGAAGTGGTCGACGTCCCCAACGCTCAGAACTACCGATTCCCAGTCATTACACTCTCGCATCATCAGATTCCACCAACTTAGCACACTCTCCAAATCCTTTGGCTGAAGAGTGCCTTCATGCAGTCCTAGGGTAAGCCGGACGGAATTCTGGATGTGTCCTGCAAGAGGAGTGAGGTCTGAATCGTCACCGAGTTCTTCCATATCGAGATCGCTTGAACCAGCCTCAATGACATTTTGTAGTATAGCAGAATCCAGGGAGCCCGGGTATTCAAGGGAAAAGCGCACGGTGGTAAGCACGACCCGCAATCGCCGGAGTGGATGGGCTTCTGGGGAGTATAGTTCGAAAAGCTTGGTCAGGAGCAGACCGAATGTAGACCGGAACGAGTTATCGAGTGTAGAAGCGGAGGCTAAGTCCGTCATGATACCTAACTGCCATTCGAGAAGATGCCCGCGCTGGAGATGGGTCAGATTTTCATCGTCGAAGACGCCATGCTCTTTTGTCGACTTCCTTCTTAGGTTCATCTTCAGAAACGCATAGAGAACACGGCCAAGCATGAAACCACCGCTCTTGGGATCCTGGCACATCCGATGGGGGAAGCACCCTTCTGTAATAGAAAGGACTTGGTCGAGTGTGCCGGTCAATAGATGTTCCTCGATGGATTGCTGAAAGGCTTGCTCAGCCTCACGGCCAGCATTAGCTTCTAGATAAAGATGCGCGAGCTTCTCGTATTTGAGAGGCGTGAATCCCGCAACCTTCTGAGCCGGCGAGCAATTCGACAGAAGCGTCGCAGACTGCTTCAGCACAGGCACAAGTTCGCGAACTCCTTTGCCAGATTCCCTTTCCTTAATGTACCGAGACCAAAAGAGATTTGACAGCTTCACGAAGCAGATACCGATGCTCTCGGCAATAGAATCGGACGCTTCTCCCGCTGACTCCATCGTCATCAGCAGGCGTTGGCTATCTATCAATGTTGACTGCATTTCCTCCCATGGCGGTCTCTGTGATAAGATAGATATCTTTCCAATGGCGTTGACAGAATCGATAGCTGCAAGTGCAATGTTCCGAACTGCAACAACACGCTTTTGAAATGGTTCGATTTCCTTTCCTTCGTCTTCGGCAGGTTTGCGCCCAACATATCGTCGCAGAAACCTAACGAAACCGTTCAAATATCCGTAGATGCGATAAGAGACATCGTCATCGTCTTTCTTGGGGCTTTTTTCCCTCGCAGCGATGTCTCCAAAAAGAGCCATGGCGAGTTTCTTCAGTTTGGCTGCTTCAACCAATAATTCGTCAAGATCGTTCGCGCTACCTTTGAGTGGCATACATAGAACATTGGTAGCTTCCTTGATTGCTTTTACCAGTCCGGAAGAATACTTTGTAGCCTGCTTCAAAGCTTGAACATGCAATGATGCAATCTTACAGCGGACGGTAGCCAGAGAGAGACATTGTCCGTCAGAGAGAGGAGTCAGAGTTTCCGTGTACAAATGTAAGGCTTCGTCGAAGCATCCCGCTTCCTGAGCGAGCTGGCCCAGAATTGTCGCAATCTTCGCCACTGATATATTATCGTTCATGCTGGGTGAGGAACGTTTTTGGACACCGGTAAAAGTCGATTGCAGTCGAACGATGGTCTTGTAGGTAGAAGCAAATTCGGATTTCGTAATGCCTTTGCTCTGCTGAGCATAGCTAGCGACGTATCGTGCCAAGGGATCCCACATCTCCTTAGCATCATCACATACATGCCCCGAGGTCTTCCACGACATGCAACGAATCTCGAGTGATAAGAGTTGAAGAGTTAACGATGTAGTCGGCTTTAGTTTGTTCGTTGAAGATTGTTGTGAGCTGGAGGATAGGGATAGTACTGTATTAGACAATAGTTGGAGCTGCATTGCGGCCTTGTCCTTGGTAAGAGCTCCTGCTTCTAGAGCAGCCAGAGTCACCTTTGCCGGGCTACTCGGGTCCGATAATTGCAAGGATGGAGTCGCGTTTTGAACAGTAGCAGCCTTCTTTTCGGACGAGATAAGACGAAGCGCATTCGACTGGTATGACACTATGAGGCCATACAGAGAGCCCGCATGGCTGATGTTGGAAAAGGTTAGAAGATCAGACATCCGTTCCTTGGTTGTTTCGCCTTCCTGTTCTACCGGGCTCCCTTTCCGGCTTGAGCCTTTACTTCCACCACCGACTTTGCTATCGAGGTACTGTTGTATCCTTCTCTTCAGTGCTCTGAGCTCTTTGTACGCCAAGTCACCCAGGCCTAATGAGAGAAACCTTCCTGCTAGAATGCATGCACCTTGTTCGAGTTGTACGTTGGGTGTCCCTTTCTCCTGATCGGTCTTCAATGTCCTCAAGCATGACAGCGACATAGCCGCGCACTCAGCCACTGCTAGTATTCCATTATCTATTTTTGTTGTTGCACTCTGTAGGGAGATTTTCGACTTTCTGGGAGATTTCGCGACACGGGTGGGAGAGGGTGATTCGCGAGGGGTACTAGTCGCGGAGGATCGAGCATCATCGCGTTTCGTCGATTGTAGCTTCACTGCTTCTGATAGTGTTTTTAACGTCGAATTAAAGACCTCTGTGGCGAGAACAAGCTTCTCCTGGTTCGATAGACGCGCCGCATCCTGATCGACCACTGTGTTCAGAGCCGCTTCGGCCGCAGAGACCGTCGTCCGTGATCCTCTGGTTGTTTTTGTTCGACTTGTAGCGGACGTTGCCTTTGTCGTCCGGCCTACCCGCTTCACTGTCGCACTTTCGATATCTGGGGACGCTTTCGACGAACCGCGGAGTAATGTTTGGAGGGATGAGACGGTGCCATTAGAGCATGTGGAGGTTGAGCGGACGGCCTGCTTCACCAATTCTACAGGAGAACCGGGGAGTAGCGTCGAGACCGTCATGGTTGGCGGAGTTTGAATGTAGACAGTGCTGCAGTCACTGACAATTGAAGGTCGTGGGGGTTCGTTCGAGCCATGCCTTCGATGTGATCATGACAGCCGGGCGGGAGCCAAGCAAAGGCGCGCGTTGTCGCAGCAACCACTTGAAGCCTAAGCCCAAACTGGACTAGTGCAATCTGGCCCCGAATCTCAGGTTGCCTCAGGCCGAACTCTGCGGCAGATAATTGTGTGCCACATCAAGTGTACAGACACTCCAGTGAGCAGCTTTGGGAGCATCTCGACGTCGCAATTCGACACAGTCCCCAGGACGGACCTCTTCATTATGAACTCAGCCCGACTTTCCCTCCGGCATCTGGCCCAAGCGGCCCCAGCCCTCCGACCTGCCGGCGCTTTCCACATTCCAACAAATCAATTACAGTGTCGTCTACAGTCCACTTCTTCCAAAGCGATACCCAGATTCGCTCAAACGTCACTATGGACATCGATGATTCCCAAGTTCATCCGGAACCGCGGCGCTAAAGAAACCAAGCCGTATAAGCCGAAATCCAAAGAATGGAACCCCGCAAGCTTCTACATCATCATCTTCATCTTGATCGGATCCCAGGCCATCCGGATGATCGCATTGAAGAACGACTATGCGGCGTACACACGGTCAACAGATGCGAAGATTAGGCTTCTTCGGGAGGTCATAGAGAGGGTGAATAATGGGGAGAAGGTTGATGTGGAGAAACTGTTGGGCACTGGAGATGAGGCGAAGGAACGAGAATGGGAGGAAGGTCAGTGCTTGCATGCTCTTGATTTACCGTTCTACCATACTTGGAACCCTGCTTTTACTAACTCGGGGCTCTTCTCTGATATAGTACTACGCGAGATCGAAGCAGAAGATTCATTGTGGCATCGCAAGGCGGCCGCGTCGGAAGCTCAGCAAGAGCAGGTCGAGGAGCCAAAACAATCGATTATGAAGTCAATCATTAAAGATCCTGCTGTACCTGCAGAGGGACCTCAGGATAAAGGTTTACCTGCGGATAGCCCGTCAAAGAAGAAGCTCAACTTCTTTTAAACAAGCGTGCGTCTATTGATGGTCAGCATCGCCGCACGGACTTACACCCGAGGCTACTATCGAGATGCGTTTCTCGAATGATGAGAACGAACCGTGCTTATACGCCGGACAAAGTTCCATAGGTGGTTGCTGTCGGGGGTGCAGAAAGTGCTCGGGATATGGTTCTCAATCATTCCCCAATCCGGAAGTAGCGAAGAGGAGATGACGATATCTGACAGGCCATGCATAGTCCTCGTTTGCTTGAGCGTGGCCATCATCTGTTGTACTTTGCATAAATACGCTTTGTTCCCTCTCCTACTCTTCAATTGATACCCACATAGCTTTCAAATGTATCCCAAATCATGTACTTTTTGTGGGAGGCATTTTGGACAGGTCATATATTTGTATTATAAACTCCTATAAATGAGATGAAAGGACACTATTACAATCTTGACCAACAATTCACAAAATGAATTAATAGGAATGACTTGGGAACGATGTAGAAACTCTGGGGGAGGTCTAGAGGAGTTTCAATGACCAGATATTGAATGAACCATGTGCTAACGACATTCAGATTAGATCAACAGTGCTGGTACAGCAGCATGTAATGACGTCCCCGACCTTGGATATCTGAGACAATATCTGCAAGAATATATATCAAACCAGGGCGGCCCCGGAACAGCTTGAATCGGACCTGAAATGAAACGGATCGCAACTGTCCATCCTGAAACTTCTAACTGCTTTTGGTACATGTGCAAATGCAAATAGCGTCTGTGTAGTACATAGAAACGGAGGTCACAGGAAAGTCTTTGCTCCAAGCCAGAAATCTAAGAACCAAGGAAAACGAGTTGGGTAGTATGACATGAAAAGATATTTCCATTTAAACAAAAGGAACAAAAGGAAAGAGAAACCAATTCGTCGCTATGAAAACATGAAGATGCTTATCTATTGCTTGGACTGCTGAAGGAACTTAGGCCAACGGTCCGCCGAGGGGATCGGAACGCGGCCAATGTTTTGATCCAAATCCAGGATCAGCTTGAGGGCGTTCCTGGATCTGAGGTATGGCAGAGGAGCCTTGGCAGTCTGCAGGCCGACGCCAGGTTCGATTTGTCCCGCCGGGGTAACTTCCGGTTCAGACCCGGGCATAGGAAGCATCTTCTGCAGGATCTCATAGGCGGCAAGTGTGAAACCGAACTGTGGGGATGAACGAATGATACGAGCCGGGCCTCCCTTGAAGAAAGCCTTGAATCCTTCATCCCTCCAAACAGTGGCCGCGCAGTGACGCAGTCCGGTGTACCCGATCTCACCCTTGCGGGCTTCGACCTGCAGACGGGTCTTGATCACGTCACACGGGGTAGTAAGATAGGCTGCGGGCATACCAGCAATAGCACCTGCGGTGAGCAATTGCACGACGCCGAGCTTGTGAGTGGGCGACTCGCCGAAGAAGTCGGACTTCAGGTGCGCATAAGTAGGGAAGTAGATGGCGGAGAACGGGACTGGCAGGTAAACAATTAGAAGGGTTCTAGCAACCAAACAACGGGGCGCGAATCACTTACCATCACGGAGCAGACAGGCACTTGCTCCCTTGTACAGACCCATCAAACCCAGGTTCTTGACGATCCAGAGGGCAGAGCGGCGAGGAGCACCCTCAACAGACTTTGCGATCTCACCCTGGACTTGGAGACGAATCTTGACAATCTCCAGAGGGTTGGTGAAGATCTAAAACGGGGTTGCAGTTAGCGTATTGAGCCTCTTCAATGAATTAGAATCGCTGTCAGGATAACTTACAACTTGACAAGCTCCGGCAGTACCACCGGCCAGGATCTCGTGACCAGTCCAGATCTTTCCGTTCTCCTTGTTGGTGAAGTGCCCACGCACAAGGTCGTTCACAGTGAGCTTAATAGCCTTCTCGGGGGCGACACCGATCAATTGAGGGACGACACCAGAGTACAAGCCGGTAAAACCCTCGTTACGGATCACTTTCCTGAAGCAATCCAGCGAGTTGTTGTAAAGTCTCTCTCCGACGCGAGTTGAGCGCTGGTTCTGCATACGGGTCTTCACAAGATCAATGGGGTACACCATGAAGGCTCCGAAAGCACCTGCAAGACTGCCCAGGGCGAAATGGTGGACGGACTCCAACACGCTGTACAGCACCGACTTGGACTTCTCGGCAACCTGGTGCGCCTTATCCGACGCAGCTTGTCCAGCAACTGCGAGGGGCATACGCCACGATGCGTCAATGACCTTGGCGAAATCCTTCTGCGAAAGTCTTCCAGAGGGAGCATCCAATCCAGCGAAGTGGAAGAGGATGTCGGCCTCCATGGGGGTGAAAAGAGAGAACCGGGTAACACGAGCGGCAGCATTCAAGAAATCCGCGCGCGTGATCTTGCCATCATCGCTGTGCTGGGCCGCCTCACGCACAATAACATCAATGATATCCATCTCACGCATGATGTTCTGGAAGGCACGGACGGTGGCATAGGAGATCTTGGTACCGGCGGAGATGTTGCACAGACTGGGTAGGTTTTCCAAAACATAGTCGGACAGCTTGTGCTTCGAGGTTTCGAGGATGATGCGCTGGAAGTCTTCGGGCTCGATGTAGCCATCACCGTCCTTGTCAAAAGCGTGGAAAGCTTGCCTAATGCGTTCTCCCTGCAGACCGCGAAGCATCTGGGAGAATTGAGGGTACGTCATGTCGTGTCGGCGTTTTGTCTTTCCAGTGTAAAGGGAAGCCCATTCTGAGTTCCAATCGAACGGGATGCTGTCGCTGCTCTTGCTCAGGTTGCACACTTCCTTGAAGGTGTCCCATTTCACGGTGCCCGTTCCTTCCGTGTCGAACAATCTAAAAGCAATCTCGTATTCCGCGTCGGGTTTGTCCAGGAGGTTCTCGAAAGTCGTCCAGTCGGCAAGGCTGACTTTGCCGGATCTGCGCCTGTCGGCGACCATGAACAGAACGCCATAGTGCTCGCGTTTGATTTTGTGCTATTGTGAGGCAAGTACCGACATGCATTAGCCAAGCAGGAACCCTTGCGAATCGTATGACACATACAGCACAATCTGGGGGATGAGCGGCAAGGATCAGGATGACTCACATAGTCTTCATATTTGGGAGCGATGGCATTGACGAAGTCCTCCTGGCTCATGTAGAGCTCTCCCGTCTCCTCGTCTTTGCGTGCATGGCGCAGGAAATTGCTTTTAATCTGCTGCGATGGCTGGGGCTCCTGGGAGGTGCCCACCAAGGATTCCTTGACTGCGTCCTTCACACTAGCCATGGTGTAAAATACAGCAATCTATGAACAAACGCCAAAGATGACAGATGCAATTCCAAAAGAAACCCAACGGAGCTACAAAAGAACGGAAAGGAAACCACGCAAATTAGGCAAGCGAGGGGAGGAGCGGGATTAAGAAGGGGTTGGGGATAAGAGAAGGGAGTGGAGAAGGGGATTAAGACAAAAATAACGGGGGAGCGAAAGTGCTTTGCGCCTGAGCGATAATCGATCGATCAATAATAATATTTTAATTCCCGGGGGTGGGCAGAGTGAATCATACACTGACAGCTGTGAGCTGCGCAGAAAAATTATGGGGCCCAGCAATAAGTAAAGAAGGCAAGAACCTGACTTTTACAGGATTTTTATTGACTATTTGCGGTTTTAACTAATTTTTTCGTTTTGCTTTTTTGGTCAATTTTTGTTACCCTTTTTTATTTTCACATTCATCAGCACAAGCCTCACCTGGACAAACGGATAAAAAGTGTCTTTTTATTTTTTATTTTTTTCAATTTGCCTGATGACCTTTGGGGCTGAGAGGGCGAATCAACCAGCAACATCGGGCGATCTCACCGCCCCTGGCTGGCATGCATGTTGTTATCTAATTAACCGCTCGCGGTGAGGCCTTTTCTTATGCTTATGGCCTTATGCATCGGACTTGGCCCCGAACCCTGGTCAAGTGCGGCTTCCTGGCTTATTTAACTCCGCACGCAAGACCCTCACTCCCCTCACAAGGCATTTCATATACACGTCTTGATGCTGTGAGATTGCCAAATGGAACAACATATCTATCATGAGAGACCATTTTCATATGAATCAAACTTTTTTTAAGAAATTTCTCCTGTCCGAAAGCTAGTTCTCCCGAAACAATGGAAAGCCACGCTGACCCAAGGGACACACCCTCGATCCACGCCCCCTCACGGATCACGGATTTCGCCATGGACGACCAACTTCTCTCGGCGTGCCACGGTAACTCCGGAACTTTGGCCACCTTCGATAAATATGATAACCAACCACTGGGTCCCCCTTAAGCCAGACAACCAGGATCTGAAGCACTTCCCAACTTCCCTCCCAAGAGTAGCGAATCCCGTTATCTAACGGAGTAGGGTGGTCAAGATGCATCGCAATTCTTCAGCGAGAGTAGCGAGCCCATAGCAGCTTGGGGTATGCGACCCCTCTATCGGGGTTCATCTGCCACCAAGACGCGGCATGCGACCCGATCTCGGAGAACCAGCATCAACGTACAGCTGAGGGTCAGACCGGATTTGGGTTTCCAGGTGAACAGCAACCGCACATCGACGAGTGATACTGTGTAGTAATGCAAGGCTTCCGCGCTTCACATGACATCGCCGTCTGACACACAAAAATTGGAGTCTTTTCTCCCCGTCTCGGGCCGATTCATTTGGCTTACCCGCGAATGAGATGAGCTGCTTCCACGAGGTGCGTCTCCGGCTCGGTGGGGACTCCGGGACAAGCAGGAGGAACTAGATAGACTAGGAGTTGATAGTCTATTCATCTTACCTAAGGATTAGACCTTCCCCATATTCATGGACGTGTCTATCCCCCAACTAAACGAGCCTCGGACCTGGAGAACCCGGGGAGGCTTGATTCCACTGTGGCTCAACAGGTCGTCAAAGCGTATGTATATACGGGGAGCCGCAGGTTCTGTGCGCTGTGAAAGACTCAAAGAAACGAACAAGTGACAATCGTAGACGAAACCCGGAGAGGAAGGTTGTACCGAAATCCCCCGGAAGAAGAACACCTAAGCAGGGCCTCTAGCCTAAGGCACCAGGGGGGAAAGGGTAAAAGACACGGGACCATAATTTCTCCGAGAGAAGACACGGCGCCACTCCACCTGGCATTACCAGGTCTCGACCTCGGCCTTGCTCCGACCTGCACTTCTTCTCCGAATAGCTGTTCTCTCACGCGATCAGGAGGGATCTCCGCCAAGATCGGAATGAGTACGGAGTAGATAGGCAGCCCTTTCACCGAGAAATATGTAGTCTTACATAGTAGTATCATGTCAGTCAACATCCACTCAACAAGTAAATGCAACTACCTCAACTAGTTCTAAAACTCCCTGCTATATCCAATACACACCGAGCCCTATTTTAGTCACGACAAGTTCTACTATCATAAGTTGTTTGTTTCTCTAACTTACCGTTCATAGTGCTAAAAGTGACTAGCACCTACAAACAAAAACAAACATATCCAATACTACGCAGCATAGTGCGATTACTATCCGTAGTAACATGCATAATATATGCTCTCGCTTTCCCAACGAAAGGCTAATCCATACATAATATTGGATAATCATCAACGCTATGTACTTCCTAGTAAGTATCAATGCTTTACATATCATCTACACTACGACGTCCTGGCTGTTCACAGACCTTCAGAAAGAGGGATATATGAATTTTTCTCAACGCCTGTTTAATCACTACTTCTATCAATGATTTTCACAATCGTCCACACCTGCTGGATACATTCGTGCACCACAGTATCAATCTCAAGGAGGGGGGCTGAGAACATCAAGAAAATAAGAAAAAGAAAGAATTAAAGCCCATATTCCCATAATGGTTGTCTCACTTATCGAAGGCATACAAACAAAAAAGTAAAAATACTTATCACTTCTCTACTCCATAGTCCCCATATCCTCTGCTTCTTCACCAGTATACATGATTGTTTTTACTTCTAGTAAACATGTAGCATTTGTTGACTTCGTTTCTTCTCAGATAGACGGGAACTGGTGTAGCTAATTTGACTCATTTGCTCACCTCTGAGCAATAGATCAAAAAGGCTGCATGAGGGAGCTGACTCGCTGGTGTTATCTATTCTCGGGCAGCTTGAAAGGTTTAAACTGAGTTTGCCCGTACGATATGGTTGACAAGACAGACACTCTGCCTGTATACATACGCGATCCAAGTGTAGGTTGATTAACAATGACTATGTACTCTCCACCAAAGAATATTGACTCAAGTAGGAATAACGATATAGATATTCTAACTCCAAGTTCCCAAGACTGTATACCGGCAGGCTAGGCACCTCTGGCGGCCTAGGGTTTCTCTATACGCAACAACCTGAAGAGTGCTCTTTCCACAGGAAGAAGATATAACATGACGGCGTTAAATCTAAATGCCGTGAGCGTCACACATGCACCGACGACAGCATCTAGGATAAAATGGTTGGCTGTCGCAACGATAGTAAGTCCCATGAGCATGGGCCAGATGGGCGCCACAGCTCGAAGGTACCAATGCGGACTGAACTTCAGCAGGCAGAGTGCAATGAACATCGAGTTGCCGAAGTGGAGCGAGGGCATCGCTGCAATTGTGAGCTGGAATTTGTTCTGCGTCCAGGCTGAGCCGCCTGCATTGCTGTGCAGAACGTCGATGAAGCCGTACTCCTCTGGCAGCAGGCGAGGTGGCATGCACCTCCACAAGGTAAGGATGGTGAAGGCAATGACGTTCTCGAACGCCAGTGTACGCCTGATTGCTTGATACTTGTCTCGTTGGATGCAGGTATAGCAGTAGACGATGAATATCACACCGAGGACAATGTGTGAATAGTATACTCGAGCAAGGAATCCCATGAGCCATGGCTTCTGCTCAAGCACATACCTTTGTACAGATAGCTCGACATCGAGGTGAAGGAAGTGCTCGAACGAGAGGATGGAAAGGGCATGGCGCTCAGCGGTGTCGAAAATAGCCTCATGGCCACTGATCATCCTAGCGGAAAATGCCCGTAAACCTTGATAAATCTATCCACACAGTCAGCAATGCGTGGTACTACAGGAAGTGTGCCTTGGGCATCAAGATGTGTCTCACCCAATATGTGAGTAGCCAATACCATATTTCCAACAAGAAGGGGAATTTGGCAAGGATCCGTGATTGTATGGTTCGGCGGTTTCGAATTGTGCGCTCATCAGAGTCCTCGTTTGGCTTTATGTCCACTGGAGGAGCTTCCAGCAGTGGTGACTCGACGTCCGGCGTAGCGAGGAGTTTAGCGTTCTTGCGCCGATTGATGAGTGCTCCTGCAGTGAAGGCGGCGACAATCGCTACAGCAGGACGTGACCATGAGCATGCTTCTTCGGATGATGCGGATTTGCAAGTAGCAGGGATATAACTTACCCGCAGGCTCTAGAATGTTCTTCACCGCGCCCATTTGTGATGTTCAATGTATGGAAACCAGGATTAGGTCACGTACACCGGTGGTCGAGGTTACCCTGCACTGCAGGCGGAAGCTTCGCATACACTGGAACTTAACGATGAGCCCAGCAAATGGAATTGATGTGTTGTCTCGAGTCTGACACCAGAGGATCTACCTTGTCTGAAGTCTTGCAACAAGATCCCGGGAAGCCAGTCGGAGAAAAAGGAGAAAGGGGAGCCAAGGTGACAACGAAGAATTGAGTTGAGAAGTTGTCGTCATCCGTGGCTGCCATACTTCCGTGCATACCTGGCGCCTGGTGGGGTTTGGCGTGTTTGCATGGGCCCTACAAAAGAAAAAAAAAACAGGGCGGGCAGGCAGGTGAGTTTGACTAGTCTGCTGGGTTAGGCAGACCCATCACTCTGTCCAGCAACCATCAACGCTCTAACGATTTCCAAGAAGTTATGGAGAAACTACTAATCACTTATGGACCACACCGAGGTAGGTCACACGCGGTATTACCTCTTCTGAGAGCCACTCTGGTCTGGGCCCGAATTTAGCGGCGGTTCATCCAGGATCCATCGTATCCGTATCCGAAGAGAACCGATGGCCGGATCGGGCTGCCACTGCTCTGCTTCGTTTCAGCCACAATGGCGGGTAAGGCTGGAGTTCAACCGTTGCAGAAGTTCGTATCTAAATTAGCGACAGGTATGGAGTACATTGAGTGAGATGGTGATCATAGTAGTACCGGCAGTGACGCCCAGAGAGCCAAGTGCGTCTCGATCGCGCTTTATTGGTTCCTACCATGCGCTAATTCCTTCGACCGAAAGCTTCGCCGATCTACACTGACAACAACTCTTTTCATCATCAATGTTTGTATTCTCTATTTCTTTCTTAATCTTGTGCTATCGCCCAACAATATGAAAAGGGGGAATCTAGTCAATGCAATGCGTTTGGTACAATGGAGAGTTGGTTCATTCTTTTCATGTTTGCCGATCGGAGCCATCTTAGCGTAACTGCTGGCTACGACATATACCTCGAATCTGCATGGTGGCCCCTTTCTGTATAACTCCCATTAAGTATGCTCTCATATTATGATGTTGCTTGAAATGCAGTATATTTGGGACCGCACAGTATAATCCAGGTCAGTTTACTGCATTTTATAAGGTAGACAATATACTTTATGAAGTTCTACTAGGTAGCAGTTCTCTGGGTTAAGCCAACCCGAGCACTACGAACGACCTAGGCTTTATGCAGACCATTTTAGTTTTCTCGATACATCCCATATATCCGAACAATTGTCTTGGTTTTTCTTGATGCAAAGTCCAGAATTCAAGCTACTGTCAAGGTTAAAAGGCTCTTTCTTGCTGGTAGTTCTCGTGATAAAAAAGGGGTTCGGCCGCAGACCCTGAGATCCCCACCAGATAGACTCATCTTCAAGGGTTCCGTTGATAAGATATAGTAGGGAAGAGCTCTGCCATCGGTTATCAGAAGAGTGCGCAGGCTATATACTAAACCTTATATGATCGTCATATATTACTATCTCGAGAACATGGTTTTGATATCATTTATATCCGTCAGCTGTGTTTAGCACCACGTATATTTTCTATTATTGTATGTTTCCCATAACATGTGTTGAGTCAAGTGCTCGCACAAGGTTTATAAAAATACAGCGGGATGTCTGTGTCGGATAGAATCCAACTCTATTGAGCATACGATCAGTATTGACAAACAAATAGCTGGGCTATTATCGCCTCTCTATCTACTAGTACATTCTTGCAAGCACGAGCGTCAAGTGGTAGGTTGGCTGGTCATAGAACCACTAAACTTCCTGTGATCTGAGTACGACTCACAGCTTATACTACTCAGATTGTGCAAGATCTTCTAATAGGCTGTAAGCTGAGGTTCAATGCAGAATATTTTTAAGGTTATCAGTAGATGGGCGAATGGCATGCTGACAGACCTTGCTGCCTTGCTGTTCAGTTGATAAGCCCAGGCCCATAGCGTGCTGTTACCGTCAAATCTAGACAGGAAAGAGAAAGCCGTGATCTTACTGTTCCTCAGTGCAAAGACTTTTTAGGCAGGTTAATATATCTAGATGCGTAAAAGAAGATAACCTGAACCAGGTCGCTGGGAAGAAACAGGGACGGTTCTCGGTGGGGCACCAGGGCGGCTAAAAATACCAAGCCTTGGAGCGCTACCAAAGAGATTCGTCATTTCTCCCTCGCCAAGTTTCGGCCATGGCAAGTGTCCTCCACCAGTCCACCAGTCCACCAGTCCACCGTCACTCAAGTGTCCCTCCCCATTGTTAGTCTTGAAGGTCTGAACCCTTTGCAGCACCCTTTTGCGACCACCATCATGCAATCTATTGACCGTCGATCATGCCTCTTCCTGGATATCCTCCAGGGCTGTCACAGTCACAGTGATCAACCAGGGCCATGACCCACTAATACTGATTGGGCTGAGAGCACACCGAGATGCAGACTGCTGACGGCAGAAGGGAAAGACTGACCCGTGAACCACAACATTCATCCCGCGTCGAAAGGGGACTAGAAGACCTATCCAGATTTCCTGCTGCAAATGCAGTGGATCGTAAGGCGAGGTTGGCGGCCTTTTTACGGGCTGCGAAGCGGATCGCATCACCAGTCAAACCCCCTCTCCTCCAAGTCTCTAAGTGGGCGCTCCACCCGGAACACGTACCAATAGGCCCCAGTGCAATAAATTAATCCCAAACGGGCCAAGTTGCCCACCCCCCAAACTGGCTATTTTTCTAAAATGGTTTTGGCGCCGGGGCTCGTCGCCTTTCCAAAGCACCACGACCCGGTTCGTTTCTTATCTCATTCCTCATCGACTCTCCTCCCGCCCAGCCCGGATCCTCGCGCAACCAGCCGCATCATCGGAACAAGAGGACCCTGAATACCGCTTTTCTTCCATCACACTGTGTCGACAAGTCAATCAGCTGCGATATCCGTCGATGGGCAACCCTGAAGTGACCTTTTTGTGCCTCCCCAATTCTCGAGCGCCTCACTTCTGAACACTTCCTCCAGCCATGTCGAATCGCGGTTGAATGCGGTGACTGGTTTTTGATACCAGCCATATCCCTCCGGTGATCTATGCTAGGCAACTTTGACAGATGTGAAGAACCGAGGAACGATGACAACAGAGCTTACCCGCGATGCTCCTCAGATCCGGACTTCAGGATGGCTTCCGCGGACCTTGCGCCGACGATACTTGATTCCGTTGGCCTGCCTCATGTTCTTCATGCTGTTGGTGACTGAGTTTCTTCGACAACTGGGCAACAATGAAGGCAGCCTCAGTCTCTTTACCTCGACTGACCAACTCACCGACACCCGAAAATTCGCCTACACCTACGTTCCCACGATCCTGAGCATGGTTATCGCAGTCTTATGGTCCCTCGTTGAATATGACGCTCTTCGGCTCGAACCGTACTTCCAACTATCAAGACCCCAAGGGGCTCCGGCTGATGTGCTTCTTCTCAACTACGAATTCGGTCACTATACAACCGCGCCGTTCTTTGCCATGAGGAACCGCCATTGGCTTGCGGTCTGTATCTCAGTCCTGAGTATCCTCCTGCAATTGGTATTCCCGTCTTTGCAAAGTAGTCTTTTCAACATGGATGACGCTACCGTCTACAAGAATCAGCACCTTCAAACATGGCCGACTATCGTGAACCTCGAAGAGCAGGGATCCTTGGTGGATAACAGCATCCAGAACACGACCAGCATTCGAGACCATCGGGACCTGTCTTATAGTCAGCCGGAATCGAGCAAGTACGCCATGGCACCGGTGGCTATACCATTAGATGTTCAATACGACACGAAAATGTGGGAACTCACGCAATCCATCTACTGGACAGAGTTATCTTGTACTGAGATTGACGTGGAAGATGCCGTAACCATTGATGTATCCTCCAATACTTCTTCATTCGGTATCGGATCTCCCACTAGGCAACCCTTGATTTGGAACCTCTACGACGTGTCAACAACCGACAATTGCACCCTGGAACTCAGCGAGGAAATCACCATACCGCCGACAAACTCATCCGTGCAGATTTCACACTGGCAGCCGAACGCATCCACGACTAGTATTACCAAGCAGTGTGCTTCTTTCGACCTAATCGGACTGACGGTGGACGTCAGTCTCAACAAATCCAGTGAACTTGATCGCCAGAAATCCGATTATTCGAGCTCTGATTACACCCATCAGGTCAACGGATTTGGCTGCAAGCTTGTCTATCTGACCTCGGAAGCTGGCATCTCAGTGCAAGTAAATGGTTCGCTTTCAATCGTTGATCTGCATCCGAACTCGACTACAGAGGTCTCAAGAGCTTCTCTCAATACTACCCACTTCAAAGGCATAATTTTGCAAGAGGTGGCCTCCACCAATGGCACTTCCACGTTCAATAAGAAGCCAGTGAGGCCATCCACACTTCATCGCGATCTTATCTCGAAGCTGGAAACTAGTGTTCAAGGCGCTTTTGTACCGTTGATGAACAGGATCTTCGATCTCACCAGTCAGTCACACTATGTGCAAGCTTCTCATGTGACACATCAGATGGCCATCATTGTTGGCCCGGTACAGTCCTTCCTCTCCGAGGCAATCCTTCTGTTTGGAGTGGTAATGGTTTTGTATTTGGCCTACACCTACCCAAATCGCCCGAATATGCTTCGAAGTGACCCAGCTTCTATCGCATCCATGTGTGGTATCATGGCCGATGTCATTGATGCTTCGTGTCTGTCTCACTTGAACCTAGATCAGTTGTCAACCAGACAGTTGAGGACCATTCTGAAGAACTATACTTGCCGCTGGCAGCAAGCTTCTGACTCTCCCCGTATTTGTATTGAGCCATCTGCTGGTAAGTCTCGCACTAATTGTGATTTGCCTCGGTTAGGGCCTCATAAAGCAGACATATTGACACTGTTTAGTTCCTCGGTCTCAAAGGCAGATCTTTCAAGGCAAACCCGATCCAAGACCTCATTTCCTCCTTATACCAATTTTCGCTCTTGAAATATTCCTCTTCATAGCGGTATTTGCAGGTATTGTGACGATATTCGTGCTGTGTGCCAAGGATGGGGCATTCCATTCCTTGACATATCTTAACTCCGACAGTCTGGCGGCGTTGTTCCAACTCATCCCGTCTGCACTCGCTTCCATTATCAGGGCATTATGCCTCTCGATATACCGATACCTGAGCGTTCTGGAACCATGGTCTGTTCTCCAGGCAGGGGGCGCATCCGCTGCGTCTTCCCTACTGCTCGAGTACGGATCATTGAATCCTATTGCTTCACTCTTTAAGTGGTTCAGTTACCGCCACTTCTTGCTGGGACTCGTAGGAGTGGCCTGTATGTTCAATACCGCAATGAGCATATTAGCCAGCGGGCTTTTTCGACACGAGCTTGGTCCGACGAGGGCGGATGCTGATATGAAGTCCAACTACAGCTATGCGTCAATCGCCATAAGACAAGCCTCGCCAATAGGCCCCGAACTTGACACCATTAAGAGCAGCATCTACAGTGGTACCTCGGTGCTCTCTTGGACCACATCCAGCTATTCATTTCTCCCTGCATGGACGGACACATCGTCCGAATGGCTCGTTGGGGGCACCATTCGGGGCGTTGGTGCCGATTTAGTATGCAAGCAACTTTCGATCGCCGACAGCTATTCCGAGGACCCGGTAACAAATGTAGCCAGTTGGCAATACTCGCCTTTCAACGAATCAGATACGGTGTGCCAAATTGACACAATCCAAGACACTGAGGCTAGCCAAGGAAACAGTTTGACGGTTCGATTCTTCGCTTCACCGACATTTGCACAATCAAGTGGCTGTCAGAAGCCTGCTGTCGTCGTTGTTGCCTACCCCAGCGGAGGTGGCTATCTACAAACCACACCCGATACCGCAGTCGCGTTGTATTGCGAATCCCTCTTCATTATGCAGAATTTCTCCGTTGGTTTCAACTCTGATGGGTACATACAGTACCATGTTCCTCTCAATGGCACCTTTGTGAGGGACGATGCGATTTTACGCAACGGGACGACAAATCTGGCCAACTACAACCTCAGGTTGTCAAACCCTCTAAGCGTCACTTACAATGGCTCGCATCTAGAAACCAACAATGCAAGCAGCACTGATTGGTTTGGCACCCTCACGGCAAATCTCTACCGCATTCTGGACACCAATACAAGTGTCATTACCGCAAATGTTCTCGAATCCGCCACCCGCAATGTCTACCGGTCAATCTTTGCAACTGATCTATCGCTTGAACGGGATGCTTACTTCCAACTTCAAGACCATCCTGCTCGGATCAGCGACGGTATTATCTACAACATGTCATGGGCGGTGGTCCCATCGTTTCCATCATTCATGTATGTCCTAATAATAGTGGTCTTCGATGGGTGCGTTGTCGCCTCGGTTTTCCTTACCAGGAGAGGTCGTTTCAGATTTCCTCGCATCCCACGGTCCATCGGCTCTATCATCCCTTGGGTCATTCATGGACAAGTTCTGAACGATTTCAAGGGAACATACGCATGGAGTGAAGGCGATCGAGAGAAACACTTTGTCGATCTGGACAAACGATACAAACTTAATCGACACGAAACGGCCGATGGACAATGGAAGTACGTTTTGGATGAAGACAATTCTCGCCGCAACAGCGAATCATCTACCATCGAGTTACAGCCGATTACTCCGGTGCCGAAAAATCGGTTCCGAACTCTGCTGCGAAGGGTGACTTCTGATGACAGAAATCAAAACGGATGATGACCCTCTTGGCTTGGTTGACTCATTCATTTCCGACATCTTAGCGGCTTCTTTGAAATCGCCATCGAATTGGAAAAAGGGTTTCATTCCAAACTGCAAAACCGATTGATCTCGGCACACGCAAGAGTTTCTACACCAGGCGGTCCGGACCTCGAGGCAGCCTGAACCCTTCCTGGAGCCACCCAGCCATTGATGCCTTGGCTTCCCCCAACCATCCTACCATTGTGATCATGGAATTTGATAATGGGAAAGACCGGGCTCGCTTGAAACCTTGACTTAGGCTCTGGGAGACATTCCAGAGCCATCATTACTCGGATTGGCTGGTTGGCACGATCGTCAACACTTTGGCAAGCTGGCATCTTGCCCTTTCCATCTAAAATGGCACGGGAGGTCATTGGGATACGAACGATGAGAACCAATGGTTCGGTGGTGGGGTGTGATGTCGGTGTGCCCATATGCAAGTGCCGTCAATGTCCCACACGCTCGCCCATGTGTGCTCCGAAGCCCACGGCAAACAACCAACTTATTCGGCATTTCAAACTCTGCAGAATGCTTGTCCATTTCATGGTGAGGGGAGCTTCCGATAGTCGACTGCGGGAAATTGTGAAGATGCCGGGTGGTCGACGAGGGGGATGGCGGCCGGCAGCCAATGGTTAGTGTTCATCACATTCTAAGCGCCGAGCAGCTGCACGAAAAGGCACAAGTCACCCCTTCATCACACCTAGTCTCGAGGTCCCTGCTGAACGACAACGAATCATGGAGTATGGATGGGTGCAAAGCGTCACCTCCTGACCCAAAGTTTCTTAAAATAGGTTGCCATCCATCGCCAGGTCAACCCCTCGCCTTCGCCCTCCCCACCACCAGGGTTTCTCCCCAGCAATGAAGGTCGAACAACTATATAGCCGCCCAGCTAGCCCGGGGATTAAGGGTTCTTCCTCTTTTCTTGACACACAATTTGTTTTGGGCTTTGCTGGGTTTTTGTTTCCGTTCTATTTTCATCCTTGAGTAGTTCGTTTGGCTGGTCCAGGCGACTATCTGTTTTCAGCTTCCTGTTTGGCACGTCATCGAGTAATAATAGTATCATTTACACGCCTGCCTCATTGGAAACACTCTGTTGATCAAAGTGGTTTTCCTTGATAATCTTGTGCTGCTGCTCCTTGCGCCTATTCTCCACTTGTTTCTTCCACCCAAAGAACAAGATATCTTTTTGCATTCCATCATCTTTCCAACCCATCAGTGTCAGTCAAAATGATCGCTCGCAACGCAAGACCTAAGCTTTCACTGTGCACCTCCGCTGCGCAAAATACTTCTCGTCAGCCTCTGTCCCTCAAGTCCCCCAGCGCCATACCGCGCACTCCGATTTCCCCTGCGAGCCCGAGTGCAAAGCGGTTCTCGTCTTTCCAAGTACCAAGCTACGCCTACAACAACTCGTGCTCGTCCAAGAGTATCCTCAAGAAACATTCGGGCGCCTCGAGTCACGCAGAAAAGCGGATTCAGTTCAAGGGCACTCCCACTGTCCACTGTGTCACGCCCATCGAGAATCCCGAGGAATACTATGGCACTTACACCAAGTTGTCGCGCGAGGAGCGACGTTGGACGGTTCGTGAATGAAGACGAGGCTGATGTCGCTACAACCAACACTACGGCCAAAAGCAGATCGGCGGGATGCTGGGCCAGGAATCCGAAGAGCCTTTTTATGCGCCACGGTTTCTGTGCCCTCCCCGCTCCGACTCGGTTGTGATAAGTCGATCCGGCATCTGGAGCGCAACGACAATTCGGGGTATGTCTGGCGGCGCGGGGCATTGGATGTCCTTGAGCGCAGCGGAAACACTGAGATAAATGCATCTGGAGGATTGAGGATAGACTCAGCGTGTATATGATACCTGTTATGTTCATGATGTGATGATACGGTCCGGCGTTTTGTACTTAGCATAGGGCCTATCTTGGGCTGCCCCAATGACGATCGTTATGGCTCCATTGTGTTCAGTGCTAGCAGTAAACTAGTAGACCTACTTATGGAGAATTCTCGCCAGCGGTGATCCTAGCCACTTCAGACCGACCGTAGCGATTTATAGTAACAGCGGCGGCGGCCCCGGGTTTCGATGGCCCGTGCGAGGAGAATCCCGATACGATAGTCTTTAGTTTTCCCGCCGACAAGCCATACCCAGAAAGCTTGCCTCAGCCTTCCTTCACTCGCTTCTCAAATCACTTCCAATGTTGAGCAGAGTTCCCACCTCAGCATTACGCAAAGGCCTGTGTACTGCTCCGAGGTGGAGTCTTCTACCTCGAAGCCGCCGCGGGTTGCTCACACTTGCCATCGAAACGTCCTGGTGCGTCTAATCTAATCCGCCCGAACACTTGCGCGACAGCATAGCTAACTGCTCTGATCTATCCAGCGACGACACATCGGTAGCAATCATCGAGAAGGAATCAAATGCCGTTCAAATACACTTCCTCGACAAGGTGACCTGCGACACTAGCGCATACCAGGGCATCCACCCGGTCGTGGCTCTCGAATCCCATCAAGAGAACATCGCAAGTCTCGTCCATAAAGCACTCGCCCACCTACCCGTCGCGAAGCACGAAAAGCACCAAACGATAAATGTCTCGAGCGATTCGCAATTACGCAGGAAACCCGACTTCGTATGCGCTACTAGAGGACCGGGGTTCCGCTCGAATCTCTTCGTCGGGCTAGATACAGGAAAGGCGCTGTCTGTCGCATGGCAGGTACCGTTCGTCGGAGTTCATCATATGCAGGCTCATCTGTTGACTCCTCGTCTTGTATCTTGCATGAACCGTGGCCAGGCCCAAGATAACAGCCAGGATGTCGCGGCGTCGCAGCAACCCATCACCCCCGAGTTTCCCTTCCTCTCTATCCTCGCCTCCGGCGGCCATACAATGCTAGTCAAATCCTCCTCCATAACCGATCACGAAATCATGGCTTCAACAGTGGACCGAGCCCTCGGAGAGGCTCTAGACAAAGCCTCCCGCGAAATCATCCCTCCCTACCTCCTCCAAACGTCAAAGAGCACCATGTACGGGAAATTGCTCGAACAATTCGCCTTCCCCAACGGCAAAGCCGACTACGCCGACTACCAAGCCCCCAAATCCCGCCACGATGAACTCCTCCCACGCAAAAGCGAAAACCCCTGGGGCTGGTCTTTCGTAGAGCCATGGGCCCACAGTCGTCAACTGCAATACAGCTTCTGCTTCATAGGGAGCACGCTGGCGAGGATATTCTCGGCTCGCGAGGCAGCCGGTCAAACGATCAGTCATGAGGAGCGGATAGCTCTGGCTCGCGAGGCAATGCGGACTAGCTTTGAGCATCTGGCGTCGCGCACTATCATGGCGTTGGAAAGTCTTGCTAAGCAAGGGCCGGAAAAAGAGGTCAAGACTCTTGTTGTTAGTGGTGGCGTTGCGGCGAACCAGTACCTTATGACTGTGTTGCGCTCGTGGCTGGATGCCCGCGGGTTCGGGCACGTTGGGCTTGTTGCTCCCCCGCCGTACCTGTGTACGGATAATGCTGCTATGATTGCTTGGGCGGGTATGGAGATGTTTGAGGCTGGTTGGCGCACGAATCTTACCTCTCGGGCTATTAGGAAGTGGTCGTTGGATCCGCGAGAGGAGGGAGATGGTGGTGTCCTTGGGCCTTTTGGGTGGGAGAGGGCTGAAGATCATTTTGTACAATAAATAGATTTTGGGGATGATGTTGTTACCACTTCACTCTGCTTCGAGTGTGTATTTTTATGAGCTGTATATAGATCACAATCCATGTATCACCACTACCACTGGGCTTTACTCTCAAGGACTCTGTATAATCATGTACATTTCATTCCATGTCATATGAACTAGTAATTCGCAAGCCATGCGAAAGGCGCTACCTTAACATAAGACACACATAATGCAAATCCGATCTGCTCAAGACAGCACCAGTATGTCTGTGACGAGACCGTTATTCCAATCCCCGTTTCTAGAGGTGACAGCTTATCAGCCTATCACCCACGGTGAAAGCTCATCTCCACACCCCACCAGCAGCGACAAGCATTTCGGGCTCTTCAGATCTGCCGACCCTCCGCCTGAAGTTTCCAGCATCGGTCGACTTTGTACAGTTATTTCAACCTTCAATATCCATCAACCACCTGCAACAGTGCCACCCTGCTGCAGCGTCGTCACTTGCTTCCGAAGCTCGAGGAAGAAATCCTTGCCGTTTGCCATTTGGTTGGCTGTATACGTTGTTGTTCGAGTTAGGTCATTGTTCGTATGTTTCGCGCTGTTGTTTCCTGGGGATGTGGTCACGTACGCTTTGCGCCCCAGGGTCCGCTCGCGCGGTTGTTCACGTCCTTTCCTTGTGGTTTGTAGTAGTAAGGTCTCGGTTCTGGAAGAGGAGATGAGGGTTAGCGATAGGTAAACGTAGGTATCGGTTTCGGATGAGCCGTGGTGGTATACGCACCTCCCGGTCCTAGAGTGCAGCGCAAGCTGTGTGTTAGCTGGTACCAATCCTCGCGTAGAAGCTGGCCTAAACTTACCCTTTCTCAGAGCTCCCTTCGCCTCCGCGGCATTGAAGCCTCGCACGGGGACATGCTGCTCCTGCTGCGGCCCGGAAGCGAACTGGTCACGCGAATCTCCCCAATTATTCTGTCCTCCCCGAGACCCACCATGCGCGCTCATGGTGCGGGCGTTGGAGTGTCTTTGCGCCGAGTGGCGGTTCTGGTCGTATGGGCGACCTCCGCGCCATCTAGATTGCATACCCACGGGTGGGTTGTTGTTAGTCTAGAGATCTGGGGAGTATAGTAGTAATTCAGTGTGGAAAATGGATAGGTGGTTATAACATACCGCTCTTCACCGGGGCCACTCATTCTGTTAACTATCTAACCAGTAGACGGTAAACAGAACAACGAAGTGGGCTTTATGAATGGGGAGAGAGCTCTTGGGAAGTAAGTAATCAAGAGGGGACGGAACTGACAGACACAGGAAGGTCGGCGGGAAGCAGCGCGAATGTGGAGAGCGGCTTGAGACTCTCCGCCTTTGGGGCCCGACGGCCAGCCAAGCGGGTTGCTTTGCTTATCATAAGCACAGCATCTGGTCAACTTCCCGCCCTCTCGCGGCCTGCGCGTCTTCCCCCCTCTCTATTGTCGTCCACATTCACTGTCGAGTACTGTCTTTTCCGACCTTGGCGGCTTGGAGGAGCCATGCTCTTTTTATTTCCGATCGTTTGACTCCCATTTTCTACCTGCTTTACGGCGCGACGTGCGTTTGTCTGGAATCCTAGAACGTGCGGCTGAGCGGCACCGCTCGGCGTCGCTTTATCACCAACTCCTTTCTAGCTGAACTTCCTATCCGTCTCTGTTCGCGCTTATTCCCGCCTTGTTTGAAACTATGGCGCCCCTCTCATGGCCCAAGAGCCACCGCTCGCCCAGCAGACCCTCCCGATCCCAAACTAGAGTGACCTTGAAACCTCCCTCGAGCTCCGACTCATCGGTGACCAACGAAGGCCCTCCCCTCAAGAAGCGAAAGTATGTCCCTGGCGGACCGGGTGGTGGTGGGAGATACATCGAGCTGGAGGTGAAGGATACGCCGAAACCCAAGCCCTCTCCAGCAGTCAGACGTAATTCTTCCAACTCTCGTGGTCGCAATGGCCCAGTTCCACTTCCAGAGTCAGCACCTCAACCTCAGCCTGTACAACTGCCTCCGCCGCCGCCACCTCCTGTACCGACGACACCTCCCTCCGCGCGTCTGAGAAGAGAGAAGAGTCAGAACCGAGGCCGTTTTGGGTCATCGACGGCGGCTGCCCTTGCTCTACAACAAGGGGATGGTTACAAGCCGCGAGAGGAGCGTGGTTGGGAGGAATTCCATCCGGATCTTGATATTGATGCGAAATTTGCGGTCTTCGATGCAGAAGAAGTGGATCGCCCACCTCCCACATCATCGATTGCTCATATCCTGTCGCCAAACGGCCTCGATAAGACGAATGAGAAGGATCCAATAGCAGAGCTGATTCGCGCGCATACGAATGGCTCGTCACCGACCCCTATCAAGCGCCGACCAGGCCGCCCTCCTCGTCGACCTGAGGCCATCCTCAACGCCTTGGGCATCACACACCAACAGAAGAATGTTCCACCCCCAGGCCCGAATCCCCGCGAGAGGCTGACGTTGCCGAAGCCCTCGTTCCGCATACGCGACCCGTTCACTTTCTATGACCAACCTGGAGTGGGTCAGCAGAACTATGTTGATCGCACTATGGCGAGTGTAGGGTATCAAGAAAGCGATTTATTCCTCCGCCATGACCGTCGGTTGATCCGCATGACAGAGGGTGCTCAGGAAGATGATTTGGATCCGGCGAACCCTGTCACTTCAGAAGGTGAGGTCAATGCTGCCGTTGGCCGGGTGGAATATGATATGGATGAGCAAGATGAGAAGTGGCTGGAGGAATATAATGCGAAAAGAAGGGAGGACCAGCTGGAGCCGATCAAGCCGGCGGTCTTTGAGATCACCATGACCAAGATCGAGAAGGAGTGGCACGTCTTAGAGAAGCGTATACCGAAGCCTAATCCCAAGCCTCCCCAGACCCAACGGCCTCGTTCGAGCTCTGCCGCGGCGGTGAATGGTGAAACTGCGCCGGGTGAGGAACAGGACAGCAAATGTGCTATTTGCGACGATGGTGACTGCGAGAACTCCAATGCGATTGTTTTCTGCGATGGTTGTGATTTGGCAGTCCATCAGGAATGTTACGGAGTGCCGTTCATCCCGGAAGGACAATGGCTATGTCGCAAGTGTCAGCTGATTGGAAGGGGGTCTGTCAACTGCATCTTCTGTCCAAATACCGAAGGTGCCTTCAAGCAGACTACCTCCTCGAAGTGGTCTCATCTCCTGTGTGCGATATGGATCCCTGAGGTCTCTATCGGCAATCCTTCTCTTATGGAACCGATCACGGATGTGGAGAAAGTGCCTCGCAGTCGCTGGAAGCTTCACTGCTACATTTGTCGCCAGAGAATGGGTGCCTCGATACAGTGCAGTAACAAGAACTGCTTCGTCGCGTTCCATGTTACCTGTGCAAGGAGGGCTCAGCTTTACCTGAAGATGAAGTCAGGACATGGAACCCCGGCGGTCATGGACTCCCATCTACTAAAAGCTTTTTGTGACAAGCATGTACCGCCTGAATGGCGCAGAGAGCATGGGACAGATGTTGCTACGGCTGAGGCAATAGAGTACTACAGGACTACTATGCAAGGCCGCCGATGGGGAGACAGCCAGGCAGCGGCTCTTTCCTTGGAGCCTACACACCCTCTCGGTTGCGACCACGGGGATGAGGACGGACATCGCATGCATACACCACGCATTACCCTGACTGTTGGCGGCAATAAGCGGAAGCGACCGACTGTACCCAAAACTATTTGGAAGTTACCGTCCGGGGCTCCTGTGATTCCCCAGGTTGTGCTTAACTCGGTTGTGGCCTCACTGCAGCGCTTCGGGGTTCGACAAAGGAAACAGTATGCTGAGGATGCTTGCAAGTACTGGACGCTGAAACGAGAAGCCAGGCGGGGAGCCGCACTTCTGAAACGTTTGCAACTCCAGCTGGAAACCTTCTCGTCCATGGAGATGACTAGGAGGGACTATGTTGCTATGGGAGTCCCTGGGAGCAAGAGACTACAAAGACGTATTGAGTTTGGTGAGAGACTCTATCATGATTTGGATCGATTGAGGATGCTGTGTGATGAAGTGAAGAACCGCGAGAGGGAGAAGTTAAAGGACGTGGAGACGCTTAAAAGCATTGTTGACACTGTCTACTTCCCAATCTTCCCTCTGCTCTGGCCAATATTCGAGAAAGCTCAAGTGTAAGCATGATTCTTCTACTTTATCTCGCGTGGTCTAACATCGCGGCAGGCTTGATGGCAAAGGTATCTTTCGACAAGGCCTGGCGTCTATTCGAACTAAGCTGCAAGAACGGTTCTATCCGTCGGTCGCTACCTTCTCCGCTGACCTGGCTCATGTCTTCACTACGGAGATTGGAGTCCAACCGGCTGGAGATACGGCTGAACTTCAGATGCAGATTAGTGGTCGTGCACCAGAACTCAGCCTAGAGCAACGCGAGAAGAGAAAGCTTGCCAAGCGGATAATCAAGGCCATTCAGCCTTCTCTAGAAGATGCGATCAGGAAGGAGAGCGAATTAAACCGCAAGCCGTTTGAACAGGAGCTCAAGGAGCTCGATCTCATGCTAGAGAATAGTGTCATGTCCAGGCGGGGCTCCGAAGTTGATGCGCCAGAAACAGTTAACGATGAACAAGCATCTGCAGTACCAAATGGTACAGAGCAGAAGGTTGAGGAAATGGACGTGCTTGCTAAATCCGAGCCTGAAGATAGTGCTGGTGTTGCTGACGTGCCTGGGAACACAGCTACAACAGCTGAGCCTAGTGCGGCCGAGTCCCAACCCGCAGAGGCATCTACCGAGCCTCAAGTACAGCAGGACACGAACATGGAGGATGCACCCGCTGATATGCAGGACACAGAGCCTCAAAGTGCAGATGTGGCGCCCACAGTTGTACAGCCTACAATTGAAAATCAACCATCTGTCCCTGATCAAAACGGAAATCTGGAGAAAGAAAGTGTTGAGCCATCCAAGCCACCAGTGGAGACCCAAAATGGGCCGTTGACGCCCCCACCCAGTTTCAAAGGTGATCAACAATACCCGTTGGCGCAAGGAGGCATCCAGTGGTATATGCAACCGTTCGATCCCATTGGTACCACCATCCACGAGGAGCGGTGGACCGGGCGAGATGTGATGCGAGGGATGAGCGAGGAGCTCAGTGAGCTAGACGAGGAGGAACTAAAAGACCTGGTTGAAGATGAAGAGCTGGAAGGACAGATGGTCAATGGTTCGAACGAAGCAGCAAATGGAGGCGATGCACCGACGCAACAGAGCGTTAAGGTACATCGGACTCGACGACGCTGGCGCGGATTCAGGTAGTTAGACGTACAGATGGCGGAGATATCATCATTGGTTTTGAGCGAACATTCCCTACACACCTACACATCATTTCTTTCTTTGCGTTACCCGGATTTCCCCTTTCTGCATGTTTGCTTCTCTTTCCTTGACTCCCTACTACTGCTGCTGTTGCTGCTGAGGGAACAAACATAGGCTGGCCAGGCGTTGGGTAGGTCAGAAACTGGGAATTTGGTGGATTAGAACAGTAGCCATTCTCAGGTAATGAACTTTACAGAATGTAATCATGTCAATTCGCATTCTTTTCCCATTTTATTGTAGAGACATATTGTCTCACTCCATAGTGTGGAACAGTATTGAATGGCTGGTATGGAGAGCGGCCTTGGCACGACGGCAGAGCCGCGGGCGGTCCAGAATGGCTTATGGAAGACTCGCCGCGCTCGACTTTCTTTCCCGGTTTCTCCCCCTTCTTTCATCATCACCACCGATTTCCATCTCTTCCTCCATCCATCCTTTTTGCCTTCCTCTCTTATCCCCCTTCTTCTCCTCTTCTTTCTAATCTCTCGGAAATCAGAGCCATCTTAGCTTCCTGGCTTTCTGATATCCGCGTCGGATAGCTATCGGGTTCGGTTGTTGAATTTTTCTGCCTCTCACTAGCACTTTCCTCGGTCTGCGTCGCGCGCGCGCCTTCTCATCCCTTTTCACCTCACTCAGCTCTCTCATTCGTCTTTTCGATTTCCGTCATTATGGCTACAGAGTACGATAACGAGAACGGTCGCTACGACGGTATGTCAACCGGTCATCTTGCCTCGCCAGCTCAGCTGATTTCCCCGGTAACATCATCACAACAATGCTGACTTGCTGCTGCTCAGACGAGCCCCGTTTCGCTCGCGACCGCAGCGCATCTCCTCGCGATGAGCCTCGTGCTGATCGCACCCGTAGCCGTTCTCCCAACGGTCGCGTCGATGATCGGTATGTTTTACGTGCAGAGCTGGCTAGCTAGCTAGCTAGCCGTCCCCCAGACGCCAGCCAGACTGACTGGAGCTTCTTATTAATAGCGCCCCCATTGATCCCCGCAAGAACCTCGATGACGAGGAGGGTGCTATCAACACTGGATCCAACCTGTTCGTCACTGGTATCCACCCCCGTCTGACCGAGTCGGATATTTCGCGTCTGTTCGAGAAGTACGGTGATGTCGAGAACTGCTCAATCATGGTCGACCCCCACACCAAGGAGTCTCGTGGATTCGGTTTCGTCAAGATGGTTACTGCCGAGCAGGCCGATGCCGCTAAGGAGGGTCTCCAGGGCGAGGTCATTGAAGGCCGCACTCTGAGCATCGAGAAGGCTCGCCGTAGCCGTCCCAGAACCCCGACTCCCGGAAAGTACTTTGGTCCTCCCAAGCGTGGTTAGTTATTGTCTAGACTCCCTCTGTATACCGACATATGGCTTATGCGTGTTCAAATTTGTTAGATTTCCGTGGAGGTCACCGTGGTGGCCGTGGCGATCGCTATGATGATCGTCGTGGTCCTTATGGTGGTAGCTGGCGCCGTGGTGACGACTACCGCTATGGCCGCTATGACTCCTACAGCGACCGCCGCGACTATGGTGGTCGTGACTACCGTGACTACGGTGGCCGCCGTGACTACCGTGATGACTATGGTTACCGTGGTGGTGGCAGCAGCGGTGGCATTGATCGCTATGCTTCCGGTGGCCGCGAGGACCGTTACAGCCGCGATGACCGTCGTGACGACCGCCGTGAAGAGCGTCGTGGCGGCAGCGGTGGTGGCTACTATGACCGTGATGCTAACCCCCCGAGTTACGGCTCCGCAGCTCCTGCTCGTGATGCCTACGCAGGCGGCGGCGGTGGCAGCAGCGCTGGCGGTGGCGGCCGTTCCTATGACCCCCGTGACGACCGTTACAGCACTAGGTAGGTGAAGTTTTGACTGATCTGGACGGTCGGAACAGGGCCCAGAGCACGTAACCTCGTCCAGTGATGGGTTCGTTTAGCCTCCGCGCTTCTTTCAATTTTTCTCCCCACGCCTTTTGTTTTCTGTGACATTCCCTTACTTACCCTATTTCCTGGAATGGTTTTTAATTCCCAATACCCCCATTCGAATGGAATTGCGCTCAACGGGCTACGGTGGGGCGTCATCTGTTGTCTTGTCGAAAATGGAGAGAAGAAGTCTTCATCGCATACACATGTCATCCGGCGAAACCGACATGTCACCGTTTATGCGACCAGTCGATCTTCAAAAGAGAAAAGAAAAACCAAGGGAAAAAATAAGAAGAAAAAAGAAAAGGAGAATCCTATGTGGTGTCGTCGGCACTCCTCACACGCTGATGTTTTCTTTTGTTAAATTCGCTCGCAACACCGGAATATTTGGCGGCATGGGAAAGAACAAGAACTTTAACGTTGTAATTCCTCGGATTGTCAGATGGGTTCAGCACACTGCTACATTTCACTCTTCAACCCTTCCGGAAACTTGGTCGTTATCTCGCTAGTCAGCTGTTCGCCTTTGTTTGCGTCTTTGCGTCTTATACAACTCATCTTAACGTAACGACTTTCGATTGTATTCGGCCAGAAGCTTCCATAAATCTGCTCAGCCTGCAGAGGCTATTGCTTACGCCCTGGATCCCGCTCTCTGCACCCGGCGGTCTGCAGGGAGGTCGACCAGTGTCGCGCGGCACCAGTTCGCCATAGCGTTTGCGTTGTAGTATCGCCAGGGGAAGAAGTCCAATTCTCGCAATAGAGCCAATCCGATGGCAGCAGCAAACAAGTGGACCCTGTAATTCCGGGCGTCGGTACTTTTTTCCCCCGGTGCGATCGATAATCCGGCCATATCGAAGGGGTGGGATTGAGGTAGGTTCGATCGGTCTGAGACTGATTGAAAATATGAATATCAGAATGCTACTATGCTCTGATTGACCTAGGTTGAGAGCAGGGGACATCTACGGGTGTCTCTTGTTCTTTTTTCTTCTTTTTCTTTTTCTCTCCATTTTTTTCCACCATCATCTCATAATGGCTAACTGCAGGGCAGCATGCTTGATATCTGTTGCTACATAGATATTTCCGTTGCGTTTGGGACTAGGGAATAAATTCGTAGTTTCAGATTGGTTCTTGCTGTGCTCCCTTGTAGCATTCCGTACCTTACATGGAGAATTTAGACCCTCGTTTGGGGCGTAGGTAGATAGAGCATAGACGTGTAAGCAAGAGTCTTATCTTATGTCTAGTATCTAGGCAACATGCAGTCTCCAGTGACTGCTTGGCCCATAAGCATACCCGTGCCTAATATTCCCAAGATAACAGATATTCAGCCACCAAGCTAATCGTACATTTCCATCCAAATCATAACCTCATAACCGCATTATCTCCACCATTATGACCAAAATAGATAGCATCATACAGTCAAGGATACACTCACCCGCTGCCCCAAGAAACAAGACCCCATGGCTAGCGAGCGAGTAACTCCCCCGTATGTCAAAGCTATCCAAAGTCCAACCAGTTCGGTCTATCTGTGTGGGGGTGCGTCTCAGACTGAACGACTAGAGTAGACTAGACCAGCTCAGCATCCATCCATCATCTCCTCCTTGTTGCTTTTATGCAGATGAGATGAACCTTGAAAGTATCCGCTTCATGTACAGAAGGTACATGTTATGTTGATGTACGTCTGCATCTAGTCTTATTCCACCGTATATAGTATGGGATGGTGTATGGTTCGATGATCGTCTCGTGTAACACATCACGAATCAGCACCAATGGTCGATTAAACAAGGAACATCTACTCCGGAGTCTTCGATACACCCTGCTGTTCGATTTCATTGCTCTTCTGGATGAGGTACTCGCCGAGGACGCGGAGGGGGTTGGGTGGTCTATCATCATGTTATAGACACGGTCAGCTCGCATCCTTACTAGGATCTGCGCTTGGATAGGGTTCAATCAGAAAGGGATAGTTTTATACGCACTGCTCCTTTGCAACGACCGTCATCCCATCAAGAAGATGCGGCACAATCTTCTCATTCATGTATCTTCTAATCGGGGCGCCGCCGGGACGCACTTGGTTGGTGGTGGTGGTGGCGGAGGGAGTTGCAGCGGCGGAGTCGGCACCGGGGGTGTTTGCAGCTGAGTCGGAAGCCATGATTTTGTCTTTTTCGGGGTTCAGGGGTGGGTGTGGTTGTGATGATGATGGCTGTTGGTTCTGGGGAGGGAAGGGAGTGGTGGTAATAGAAGTAGTAGATTGTGGTGGAGGATTAGGTTGAGGTTGAGGTTGAGATGTTGTTGCTGTTGCCTGCTACAGGAGGAGACAATTTTAGTGAATGAATGAAAGTGGTCAAACAATGAGAATAAATACAATTGTAGATGTCAATTGACGTGAATTTGGTTTATAGGGACAAAAGTAAGAAATTCAAGACAGAAGTAAAACAAAAGCGGAGCAAGTTGCAACTGCTCCGCCTGTGGGGATCGCGACGGAGAGGTGTACTGTGCTGTGTGGTTCCTGGCAGTTCTGGGTTGTCTCTTACCGCGTTATCATCGGCCATGGTTTTATATTTGTCTGGAGTTTAATATGCTTGTAACTTTGATATTATATTTGAGAGATATGGGATTATATTCGATGATGTGCTTCATCTTGTGCTTCGGAGCATCAGCATCCGTGCAAACAGTGCAAAGTAGACATGATGCTTGTCCGAATTGGGATATAGTGGTCAGGTGACTTCGTGTCTTTCCGCGTCACGTTCTTTTCCTTCCTGTAACGACTAACGAGATGCCGATGGAGAGGCTATGATTACAGACTATGTGTTAGTAACTGCTGCTCGGGTTGCAGCATGTCCCTACTGCACTACTGGGACACTCTTCGTCCTTCCGCAAAGCGCAGGAAAACCACCAAAGAAGAGACTGACACTGCCGATGAGAAAGACACACCCGACTCGTCTGATAGTCCGCTGATAAAGTCCTCTGAAACACCGCTGCCGGAGCGACTAGATTACAATCCAATTCCTGTTGAAGCTGGGTTTGGGGCTGCTGGAGAGGACTCCGAAGTACCACCAAACAGCCAAACCGAACTCGAGTCGTCCCTGCCTGCAATCCAGGCAGACAATCGCGCAATCGAGGAATATGAAGCTTCGCGCGCAGCTGACGAGAACGAGCCGGACCTCCGGCAGAGACTGAGGGATGGTACATGGCGGAAGGGTCGGAGCTCTATCTACGTGGATGCGTTCAATCTGGCACTGGAAACTGTGCTGGATGAGGAGGCGCATCTCTTTGATAAGGCGGAGATGGAAGTGTTCAGGCAGTGGCGAGAACTGGACTATGAGGCTCAGTATTTGTATGTCTACCTGGGTTATATCCGTAAGATCCTAAAGCTGACTGTGAAGGTATGTGCGTCTATTCCTCCGCAAGACCTCTGCCTGGCACCGAGTCAACCGCCTGGGTTACTACTCGGATATTGCAGACATGCCCCGAGTAGTAGCTGAACTGCGCCGCGCTCGCAAGCTCCCATCGGCATCTGAGGATGGAAATTCCACAGATGACACTGTCCCCGTTGATACGGGCTTCGTCTTGGGTCAAGACGGCGAGTTCAAATTCGCCGAGGAAATGGATCAGATAACCACGCTGGAAGAAGCGTCCTCGCTCTTACTGCTCGACGAGTTGAAAACGCTCGCCAAAGACGCCAAAGTAACAGGGAAGAGTAAAAAAGAGCTCATCACCGCTCTACAACGATCAAGTCAGAAACAAACAGGCCTGGACTGGAACAGTAAATCCAACGGTAACAACAGAGACGACCACTTCATCCAGAAGATCCTCGACTACACCGGCGACTGCATCCGACTGGCCTCCGGCCCTCGTGCCCTCTTTGAACGAGTCCATCTAGTCTTCTACCGGTCCACCGAATGGACCGAAAAATCACTCACCACCATCATACTAGCCAAGATCTCCCGCAGAAACTTCCCAGAATACGTAGTCTGTCGAACCAACTCCATCTTCCCCTCGCGGGAGATCCTCCTAGAATTCGAATCCGCCCTGCGCACTCAATACCAAATCGACAACCTCCTCGAGTTCAACGGCACTCCCACCGTCGAACTGCTAACCCAGGTCAAAGACCTCGCGTACAAAGTCTATCCCCGGTGGAAAACCCTCCTCCACCAAGAACAACAAAAAGAAGACACCATCTACGATTACAATGAAGGCGCCTACCTCCGCCGATTCTCCCCAGCATGGGTATACACCCGCATCATCCACAAAGGCCTCCACCCCCTAGGCCGCTTCAAAGAGCACGAAGAAGAGCACCGTCTCCTCTCCGAACTCCTAGCCCAGCGTCTCTTCCACGCTGCCCGCCGCGGGGCATGGTACCAGCGCAAAGCCCTCCTCGAAGAACACTACCTCTGGGCACTGAAACCCTCCGAAGGACGCACCGAAGAAGTCCAGCGCAAGCACTGGCGCCGCATCGCCCTCCAAACCTGTGAAACAGGCCTGCAGGACCCAGACTGTCATCTCATCTACCACTATGACCTCCAAAAACGAATCACCAAGCTCGAAAGAGCCCTCAAGGTCGTGAAACGCGAACAGCACGACTTCGGGCACGTCAGACTGGCCAAACCCGCAGAACGCACGATCGAAGGTATCCAGATCGAGCGTGACGAGCCAACCCAAACCCAACCCTCAACCCCAGCCGACACCACCACCCCTACTATCACCACCTCCTCCAAACGCGGCCGCCCTACCATCTGGCTCGACCCCCGCGATGGCGGCGAATGCCGCGTCGAAAGCATGTGTCTAAGCTGGTACCGAGACCGTGGCTGGAAGGGCTACCACTCCGAAGGAGGCATCATCAGAACCCTGTTCACCTACCTCTTCTACGACATCCTCTACACCTACGTCCCCAACGTCTTCCAAACGCCCTTCCAAACCAGCCCGCTAGATCTCCACACCGACGCCTTCTACCCGACCCGTCTCTCACAGATAAACCACCGGCTGGTGGAGATCACCAACGGCGAGTCGGAGCGGCTGATTCGTGCTGTCTACGCGGAGCAATCTCCGCGCCAGACGTGCGCGATTGGCCTCGATTGGTCCTTTGAGTTGGATGATTTGGTTCAGATCGTTAGGTGTTTCCCGGGTGAGGCCCTCGCGGCTGTTTGTAGAGTCGTTGCCCAGGAGTATCAGGCTCGTGGGGGTGGGGTGCCGGATTTGTTGGTTTGGAGGGTGTATGATGGGGAGGACGGTAAGAGTGATGGTGATGGTAATGGTGAGGGGAAAGAAGGGTACGGGGAGGTGATGTTTGTGGAAGTCAAGTCGGCGAATGATCGGTTGAGTGATTCGCAGAGATTATGGATTCATGTTTTGGCGAGTGCGGGGGTGAGGGTGGAGGTTTGTAATGTTGTTGCGAAGGAGGTTATACGGTCGTGACATATATAATATATGTACAGTGCTGCGTATATATACTACGTATATAGAAGATGGGAAAAATACATCTACTACAGTAAACATCTACGATAATAGAAAAGAGAAAAATAGGTGTGGTCATAAATTTTATTTCATGACTATCGACGGAATCAACCCTTTCCAGATCGACCCAATCAACCACAACGACAGCCACTTCACCACAACAACTTCTAACCCCGCACAAGAAGATGTGCACGCGCTTAAGCGACGAGGGTGGAAGCAGTGGCGGACTCGTAACGCCAGGTGGGGGGGAGGACACCGACGGACTTGTAGTAACGAGACAGACGGTGGATACGAGACTCGATGAGAATCAGGCGGAACTTGCTGTCCTTGTCCTTGCGGTTACGCTCAAGGTGCTTGCGGACGGCGACGGCCTAAGCAGAATTATTAGTATCTCATTTGAATGGTTGGAAGGGGAATATGGGATTGGCATACCTTCTTGATGAGGTGGTACAGGTCCTCGGGGAGCTCGGGGGCAAGGCCTGTTGTAAAATCACTCTGTCAGCCTGTGGTTTGACCAAGCAGAGGCATACGGGATCACGTAAAAGAAAACTTCCAACTTCCCAACTGCATTTCTGCGAGTTTGGGGGTTGAAAGTTTTGACTTCTGGTGCCCTCCAGTTTTATGGACATGTTGTGTTATGTGTGTTGTGCAGAGATGGTGGGAGGCAGAGAGAGCCGGGATTGCTGCGATTGCGATTGCGAGACTCTGGGTTTGCGAGTGTGCATGTCGATACGGAGTAGAGTCGAGAACGATTCCGGGTATGTTTCAACCTCATTCTCTTGTCCCTCTTCTTCCTCAATATATATCGTATCGGTTGTCCATCAATAACTCGAATCAAATCGCCGGATATATTCCAATCCGTGTCCTGCGGCTGCTGCTCTGCTCGCGCCCATTCCTGCCATATTCACATCCACAAACATGCTCATGAAACTGGTGCGACTGGTGAAAGGGAATAATGTGTCGGTGATGTCGTACCGTTGGACTTCAAGATACGGAGGATCTTGTTACCTATTCACATTCCATATATTAGTATCCTTTCCCATCCCTCATTTTTACTTCCAAGGTTCCAGGGGAGGTTTCTTACCAGTGACAGTCTTGACCTGGGCAACACCGTGGCTGTCACGGAGGACAACACCGATCTGGGAGGGGGTAGCACCCTTCTTGGCGAGCTTGCAGATCTGCTCAACAACCTGCTCGGTGGAAGCCTTGAACCAGCTCGGGGGAGTGCGAGAGTAGGGGAGAGCGGAGGACGAAATGCCCTTTCCCTTAGAGTGAAGGCGACCCATTTTGATTGATTGGTGGTGTTGACGGGGGGTGGTTGTCGAACGGGTTGTGAGTGAGCTGGTCGAGTATCGAAAAGTTCGAGGACGAGGAGGTTATTTTTTCGTTGGGTGGATTTTGCGATCGTGGGTCACGTGGGATCCAGAATTGATGGGTTGTTGTGGGTAGGGTCATGTGATGTGGGAGTTGGGTTCGCTTATTTTTTTCTTTCCGGAGCTTTTTAAGCTCCGTTTTGACTTTCTTTGAGTCTTGGGATTTTGTTTCTTGTGGTATGCCAGCGAGCTGCTTTGAGCTGCTGCAGAGTTTATGATGCTCTGATTTCTTCGATTTCGGCTATATGGTGATCGACTAATTGATACAGCTACATTGCTGGCAGATTTGACATTCAGGTTAGTTTTCACTCCCTATGTTTTTTACCCTCTGCTTTACAGGATGAAACACACCTTACTTTTTATTTTTCTGGTACCTCTTATGTCAGAGATAGGCTTCGGTCTATCTCGATGATCTAAATGGACTTCTGATATCCTTTCATTTCGCAAAATGTTATGTCATGGGAGTTGAGACGCATCGTGCTGACTCGCATCAAGATAGGTTGCCAATATCTGATTCGAGGATATTCTGGTGTCGAGAGACGGGTTTTATAGTGCATATATCAATGGATTCATATTACTCAAACGGAACTACAGTGTTTTCCCTACTCGTATAGATCATGGAGTCGTGCGATGCCATATTGTAGCTGTACAGGAATGTAGAGGATTGGCGAGACAAATGTCTTGAGCATGCAGTTCGACGGGATGTCTGCCCGCTGCCATCGCTGAGTCCTGTCGTGTTGAGGCTTTATACTACTGAGTACTGCGATGGCACCGGCAATGCCTTCTACACGATGAGCCATTATACGATCGCAAAGGCTGCTTGAAGAGAATCACGCAGCCTCGTTGTGTCGTAAAGCTCTTTATCCATCGTCCAGCAGACAAGTCATCATTGCTGCACTTCTCCATCAGTGTCAAGCAAATGCAAGCAGTATCACACCGCAACGAGGCATCGCTTTCAAGACATCCTCGTGCATCCGCTTTAGCATCGCAACTCTCTCCCCACATGCTGTTATCGGGTTCCTGGGTTTTTCAGTGTTTTCCGCGCGACGCCCTAATAAATTCGACGACATAGTGTGATTTGTCCATCAAGATTCCAAATCAACTCACATAGACACGCAGACGGACGAACCATGGTCTGCTCTGCGACGTGCATCAAGTGTTGCTGCGAACATCCTGTAGATAGATAGGTAGTCATGATGCGATTTGTCTGTCTATCTGGTTGTCTACCTCGTGCAGCAACTCCGAAACAACAGCAGACCCGCATAAGCGTAAGTGTAAGCCCTAGCCAACTAGCTACACGGTAATATTCTGTGTGCATATTTGAAGCCAAGAAGACCATTCGCCTGGGCATGGAAGCCTGCGTTGTGGATTGGCGATGTGTCATATCCTAGCAGCAGTAGCAATAGTGGGCTGTGGACACCAGCCGTTGGTACGGAGTAGTGATGATTGAGTCACTGACAGGCTTCATCCAAACCCACCTGATGTGACCGCCAGTTGTGGAGCATAAAAGTAGGCAAGTGGGTATCAGCAACACGTTTGTGTTCGAAACGAGGAGAATAGGATCGAATCGTACTTTGTTTGTACGATAGAAGCGGCCATCTTCCGTGTTGTGCGAGATCAGTAACACTATACTCTGTACACCGTAAGTACTCCATAGACTGGAGAATATGCAAGTCTAGACCAGGGACCATAAACTTGGAGGCGATCCAGGTCCATGATTCGACCACTCCATGAGCTGTGCGTTGACGTCTGATCCCAGAGATCGCCAAATCAGACGGTCGAGTGCGACCGACCCCAGGGCACGGCGCGGAGAGGGGCAAGTGCAAGGGCAAGCTGAGCCCCGTATGTATCGCCATTCAGCAATGAGAGATCCGTAGCAAAGGACGGAGAGGTGAGATCGTGGGTACCGCGAGCGAGCGTCGGTCTCCACGCGTTGTGACCGGTCAGCTGGTGATGAGCCTATGATCGCCCCCGTCACCGTCACTGCTGGATGGCAGCAACTGATTGGCTTGCCCCGTTCATCCACAACTGATGGCGCAGTTGCACGGGCTAGATACTTCGTGCGGGATCTGAGATGGATCGCTGGGATATGCTTGGGGGCGAGAGTGAGAATTGCCTCTTGCGGCATCCGAGTCCCGATACGCCATGTCTTTGCCTTCATCGCATGACCTGGTGGGATCTCACGATCGCTGCTGTTCTGCGGGCTGATTTGCCCCGCTAGTAGAGCTGACCGTATACAAAGCTACACTAGTCAAGACTCGAGAGGGAGAGGATAGCACAGACATCACAGATAGCTGAAAGGATGTCCAACGGACGACCAGTTGGATGATTGATTTCCCTCTCATTTTGCTGATTCGTCTCCTGTCAACTGGCTTGGCGGCGAGGTTTTGTTCTGACAGCCCTATGAGCTATAGTGCAGGTAGTCCCGGCTTACTATTGGATTCCTTCCGGGGAAGTAGCATCCAAACACAATAAGCAAATAGGAAAATTTGAGTTCTCTTCGTCAGGGGTACAAAGGGATAATTTCATGCGTGCATCTCGTATTGTTTCTTGCTTATTGTGTGTCTGTAGATACTAGTAGTGATCGTCACGTTAGTATATCAGAGTCACCAGGGGGTAAGGGACTAACTATCAGAATTTTCCATAGTATGTACTTTAGTTGTTTCACTAGCAATGCATTGCTTTTGCTGCCACCATACACATGTAAAAGTACTGCGTAGGTCGAAAGGAATCCTTGATTTTACTACATAGTATGTAATAGATAGCGGCCAGACCTGCATGGCACTGCCAACTAGTCTATGATAGACCAGAAATCACTCATGCACATCTACCAATTACCAAGGTAGCGACATACTTCCAGGAGATGAATTTGAATTCAATAGCAAAAACCCGATTGGGAAAGTCTAAACAGGAATCCGCGGAAAAGACACGAGGAATACTTTGGATGGAAACTTCTACGACGGATGAAGTTTCGATACGAGAGTCGATTGCGTCTGCAAAGAGAGATTACTTCCCGTGCAACTCTGGTTAAGCTATAACCTAGAGTCGACAGAGTTGAGTTAATCTCTCGTATTGCGGGATGCGCGGGAGCAATGCCGATGGACGGGATGGAGGCATAATTGGAGACTGACAGTTTCATCCACCCGGCAAACTTAGTCAGTGCTATGGAGTAACTTAACTAATTAGTTAGTTGGTAGCTATTCTAGACTCGGGTAGAGGGCAAGATAGCCAAGCGAAACACATTGTCGCAAAAGGCCCCATCCAAGTGGGAATTTGAAAAACTTTGTAATCTAGCTAAGTCATGTACATTTAACTCAAGACTAGAAGCCACGAAGAGAATGTGGCAAATGTTTATTTCCTATTCTTGACGAAGCCATTTATAGAAATTCTCCACGTGTGGTTACGTCTGTCATGTCGTGGTGTACGGCGTAGATGGCGAGGAGTTAGCCAGCTAGCTGACCATCTCCTGGTCGGTGTATGAGATAGATACATGAGTCCATAGGTTGAACGAACAATGGGATTGTGGGAAGAAGCGAAATCGAAATCGACATCGACAAAAATCTAGCACCCGCCCGTAGATTCATTCCACTGAAAGATTGAAGATCGGTATATACCCAGTCCTGCATCGAACAGCTGGCTCGCTCTCTGTCCACATTACCCAATGAGGGAAATAAGCATACCCCCTTCTCAAAAGCTTGGTCTACCGAATCTCGCTACCCAGTTTCCATTGTTTTCAAGGTTCTTCCTGAGGAAATTGATAGCTATTACTACCGAAGTCAATCAATGCTGATATTCAAAACCCACTTCTATCAACCGGAACAAGGCTAGAGGAACGTCAATCCATACTGGATCACGCAAAAGCTCCAGGCAGCTAAGAAGGGGAAGCTAAACTAGTATACCAGACTTCGGTGCCGGGAGTGGATGCCCTAAATTTAGCCGGACAAGGGAAGGTCCCCCTCGGTAGACTTCAACTACCGTGAATTGCTTAACGAGCAAGAAGAAGGTTGATGTCGATCAGACCCGCGGCAAATTCCCGCGCAACGGGATATCTAGACCATCTGTTTAGCGATGAGGGTTTGTTGGGAATGATGAACCTGCACTAACTGGACCCGATATGCGGCTACGGCAGACTGGATGCAGGTCCGTGTGGCAGTTCGAGGAATGGATGCAACCTCGATGGCGATGGGCACAAGTCCAGCGGTCGCGGCACGATGTAGTATTACTATTTACTAGAGTAGTCGGTTGGTCCATGCGCCCGCCGCCACTGGGGCATCGATCTAGATTATACACGGTATGTGGAGGGGGTTTTGCAATTGATGCCCGTGCCGATGACGATGGCAGTGCGACAGAGGCGTCGTTGTTGAGTTGCATTACTCCTGTGCTTACGTGCTGGGTTACTAAAAGTACTTTACTTGGCTGATGATAGTGTTTGGAGTGGACCATTTTGTCCCTGAAGTCCGTGGCTACACAGTCAGGGGCACAGATGGCAGATCTCCTTTGTTTTGAGTCACACCAGGTATCAGATGGCTCAAGATTGAGAGACCAGGGGGTAAAGCAGAAAAAACAACCAAGATAACGACAACATAACACAGAGTAAATCCTGGGAGTTATGTAACGTGACCACCAAAAGACCATTCAATTCCCATGGAACCACTATCGAGTCAAAACCCGGCTATGGGGAGTTTAGAGTCTCGTGGCAGGTCGACCCTCACCCAGGGGCAAGGGCTACTGGCCTACTGCAGACTACGATGGATACAGGCAGTAATCGTCGCGACACTCGTGCGAAGCCGGTCGAACTCAAAACGACCAGGATGAGTCTTCTAGTGGCTGGGAAGGTTGCTGGTTCGGGTATAGTGGAGGTTGATCGAAGTGCCTTTCCACCCCTGCCTGCATACGAAGCCCCTCCGACGCACTAAGCAGAGGCACTCACTGTAAGGTACGCGGATGGTTGCTGAGTTTTTCCCTCCTGCAGGCTGTTGGCCAGTCCAAGAAATTCTAAATTTTTACCTCCCGAGGGATTGTGGGAATGAAATCCTTAACCTTGGCCAATAATCATCCTGCAGTAGGGACGATGTGATGTGCTCCATAAATATACGAGATATGAAATTTTTGTAGAGCAACTCCTGCCCGAAAATGGGGACGCAGTCAGATTCCCATTATTGCAGCAAAATACTGGAAAATAATGGGATTGTTATCGTGCCCTAAATCAGCACACGCAGAAAGAGGCGGCGGATAACTTGTCACTAACGTTTAGGATGACTTGCCCCCTCAAAAAAGATAGCCTAGACTAGTGAGTTTCATACCCCGAGAGGAATCAATGGCTCACTATCTCATCACTAAGAGAATTATGGAAGCCTCCCCCGAGAGATCCATGGATGGCTGGGTGGGTCTCCCCTCTTCCAGCAACAACTAAGTAGCCGACTCCGTTAAGGAAGCAGTATCTAAACGAAAAGGCCCAGCAAAAAGCTACGGCGCAGGTCCAGTCGGTATTTCGACGGCCAATCAGCAGGACGAAATCACTCCGATCCATGCAGATGCAGGCATCGCCAATTTACCCAAAGGCGTTAGAATCCTGGCGTCGAAGCCAGTGTCAACCAGAATCAACCCAAGTCAACCAACGTCCGCGGCGACGGCATCTGATTCCCCGCTCGTGGTCTTTGCCCTACCACCGTCTCCCAGGCCTCTCGTTCGTTCGTTTCCTTCCTCTCCTGATTCCACCTGGTCCCCGATGCTACTCACTAGCTCGCTTTCTTTTTTCATTTTATTATTGGTTTTTCGATTTTCTCTAATGCCTCTGCGCCTCCCAGTCAATTGGAACCCCGACGGAGCTTGGGACTCGCTCCCTCTGTCTCTCTTTGCCCAGAATGGGCGTTGTCGCACGAAGCCAGTCGAATGGAGCAGCGACTCCACCAAGCCCATCAATGCCCCTGGTGCCAAACCTTACCGTAGTCTCTCTCTCGCCGTTCCGAGCCATGGAGGGGAATTCCACCGTCTATCGTCAGAACCCAATGAGCGACGTCCCAGACCATGGCGACGCTGCGTTGCTCTTGTGTGAACGGACCTCCTATCAGTCCATGGCCATTGCCCCAACCAATCCTCTAGTGGTAGTACCCAGAACGGTACCATCTTTCTGGTCTTCGGTACATCATCCATTGCCCTAGCTCGTAATTAGTATATCTGATCAGCCTTCCCACCCCCCATGTCCGTCCGCGCCCAGCTGCCTCTTGCTCCCCTCTCTTCCTACTAGTATCATGCGATAAACCACAAGGCTGTCTGTTCGATCGATATCAATCGTTCCACGGCCGTGAGCCTCTTGCGCGGGGTAACCACGCCTGGCACAGTCACTAGTATAGTATTGTCGATAATCCCGCCACTCGCTTGCCCCCGAGGGACAGGACATGACTCTCTCCGGGCCTCTATCGCATCCGTCGCATATTCACGAAGATTCCTACCACTATGGCCAACGAAACATTGTCTGGATATTGTCCGACTCCTTTCCTCCAGGAGTCACTGTTCCCATCGAAAGGTGGATGTACGCTATCCCTTGCTAGTGTGGACCCAATTGCCGGTGACAGAACTGATCGTGTGCTTCGTTGCAGTCATTGACGGACGGTTTTGTGAGGAGCTTACTACAGAGCATGGCAAGGTCTCTTGCTGTCTTCCATGCCCATTGGCAGAATGGACCTATGGCGAAAGTAAGTCCACTGCTACCTGTTGCCAGTATTCGAGAATCCTAGCTAACAAGAAATTGTCGCATCCAGAATTGATCTCCCAAACCAAGGTCGCCAGTTGGCTTGGTGTCGCTACATTGCCCCTGTGCATCTTCCTCCTGGTATCATTCGCCGTGCTGCCCCCGAAATGGACGCATCGTCATTACCTGAGCATCTGCTTCACCCTGGGAATCTGCTGTATGGAGGTGGGTAGACTGCCATCGCGAATCAACTGCCCTGTATTGACTCGATTCCCAGATCGCCTTCATCATCCCGCTAGGAGTCAAACCGGAGCAATGCTACAACCAAATCACCCCTAATGATATGCACACCGACTTGTCATGCGCCTTTACCGGTTCCCTACTCCTCTTCGGAGGCTGGGTATGCGTCGTATTCAGTAAGCCTCTACCCATCCACCACCACCAGCAACAACCACTAACCAGCGACTACAGGTTTCATCCGCACACTAGCCTTCCACCTCCAAGTCTGCTGGGAAATCATGCTCGGCCCGAAATTCATGTGGACAGCACTCATCCTAGGCTGGGGTATTCCTGCCGTCGGTCTGACTGAGATGCTCATCTTGACTGGAGTATCCTACCGCTTCGGCACCGTCTGCCACATCAACGTCCACGACAGCAACAGAGACTACTGGGCGCCCGTCGTCGCATTCGCCGGAGCATCCCTCTTCCTCCAATTCGCCACCCTCGTCTACTGCATCTACATCTACGTCAAATCCATCTATGACGAGGAAACCTCCACCACCAGCTCTGGTCTTCCTTCCTACTCCGCCAGCGTCCGCACCGTCACAGCCCGTCAAGCCTACCGTCGCGTCCGCCGCGTCCTGCAACTTCAATGGCGCGGTGTCGCCCTGGTCCTCGTCATCTTGACCAACGTCATCTTCTTCGCCGTTGTCTTCATCAAAATGGATAACCATCTCACCTCCACCGTCGCTAATATAAAACTCGCCACCCCCTGGCTCACCTGTCTCGTCGAAACTAAAGGCAACGTCCAGGAATGCTACAGTGAAGCCGAAGCTATCGTCCCGAACAAAGCCACCCTCCTCGCTGTCCTGATTCTACTGGCGACGGTCGGCTTCTGGAACTTCGTCCTCTACGCCCGTCCTTCTATCTTCGTCGGTTGGGGCGAATTCTTCAAAGCCCGTGTTACGCAGCCTAACGAGTTCGTCTCTGTCGATGCGCGCAGAGGAACGCCGGATCCTCGCGCTTACGAGATGATCTCGGGATCAAGTCTGCCTCCATATAAGACCCCTGAGCCAGTTGTGCGGTCCCCGAGTCCCGCACGGACGATGGGTGCCCGTAGCCCGGAAGCCAAAGGCGGGCAGCACTATGGTCGCGAGGCTCGCTATGTACGGCCCTCGATGAGTTTCTCATCTCCGAGACCGCCCAGTGCGACGCAGAATGGCGGGGAACGTGAATGGGATCCAGAAGCTACGTTTGCTAAGAGCCATTCACAGAAGGGATCGATATAATGCAGTGGGATTGGCGTTTGTGACATGGTTTGGTTAGGTTTCTTTGTTAGCATGGGGCGCAGGAAAAGCCGCTCTATATTATTATTATTACTGTGTGATGTGATGTGAGACTATTAACTGTTTACGGCTGGATTTGATGTTTTTATATACCCTGATGCATTGATGTTTGTATGTATACAATACCCTTAGAAGAAGAAAAAGAAGAAATGAATCATTACACATACATCAATATCCCATTCAATTTTATGACTCTTACAGTGGGAGAATAATCAGTTAGAAGCCATTCCTGCAATACCACTACGGTAGTTACAACGATGGAAGATAACCCCGGTCCACCCCCAAACCTTAACTTTCCCCAACGGTCTCGCAGTCTCAGTCAGTCAGTCAGCAACCCAGCATAATGAAATCCTTTCGGCTAACTAACTACAAAGTAACTAGTTATATCTGAATCCCCCGCAGGGCTAATACTAATGCTAGTAATAATAATTACTGCCAGCGACAAGCGGAGATGGCACCACCGCCACCACTAAATTCAATTCAATTCTTTTCTTTTCTCTCCTCCGGTCTAGAATCTCTTGGCCTTCTTTTCCCCCTCTTTTCTCTAGCGTAGCATTGTAAAGTGACATGACTGACATGACATGACTATCTTTCTCCCTTTTTGGTCGAACTTAATTCAGTATGAGTTCGCCCTTTGCTTTGCATGCTTTTTTTCATTTGGAGGCGTTGGATCAACGGATCATCGCTGTGAGTATCCGTTCTTGTCCTGGGTATGTATGGCACAGACGTGGTCACAACGGATGTTGGGATCGGGATTGTGATTGTGATTGATGAATGCCGAGGCAGGATGCACAAGCACACAGTTATCATCATCCTCGGAGTTTAGTTTGTAAGGTAAGTTGAGGTTAGTAGTTGATGGCATAGCACGGCACTCCGGCATCGGATGGATGGATGGATATAAACCCTGTAGGTTATACTAAACCGATTAGGTAGTCAGCCCCGTGTGAGGTGGCTGTAGGGTTTACTGTCTGTTTTCTCTTCTTTCTGGGTTATACTTTTTGTGTTTTGAACGGGTTCATATATTTCATATTTATCTTTAATGTGTCTGTGGAACGTAAATTGGTTCAGGCACTAAGTTCAGGTAATAGCTGTGGTGTACATGTTACGTATGTTTGATTAAATTGACTGTAGTATTCTAACGGCCAGGGTTGTAGTAGTGAAAGCACGTGTGCTTACTGCTTACTGCTTACCTACTTACATGCATACGGAGAATATATAACGCCACTCAATATAGTATCTCTCCCCCGCGGGGAAACTGGCCAGACTATTCTCTAATTTAATTCACTAGGTACTAAACGGAGTACTCCGTTCCAGCCGAGCAGCCAGGGCAAAGGCAGAAAGTAGGGTAGCGGGTGTGAGATCCTTCCCTGACGCACAGACCTGGTGTATATTAAGCCGAGGAGAAGAACTACTATGAAGTACTCCTCCGTGATAGTGAATCATCAATTGAGGGATTATTATAGCGGGAGTAGTGCTTACCATCTTTATGAGTATTATTTAGTACTATGTGATTGAGTTACGAGTGTAGTTGAAAAAAACTAATGTAAGTTTTATGCGTGTGGGGACTATAGCACTATGTGTATACCCACCATACATTCAAGTATCTACAAAGTAGTTACAGAGCCAACGGTGCATACCTTCCGAGGAACTAATTACTCGCTTCTTTGCTAGAACCAGACTAACCATCGGGGACCAGAGTGATCATCATTCGGGGTTCAATCGACTAGGAAATCGATCGTCCTCGGGTTCTGCATGTTTTGCCGTGTGGGAACGTGTAATGTGCCGAGGGACACTTAACTCTTCGTAGTACTACTAGTAGCGGAATATGATGATTGGGTTCGGCAAGTGGTTCATTGCATGCTTGGTATCGCTTGGTTTGACGATACTGGGGGTGGTTCTTGAACATGAATGAAGATTGATGGTTGATTATTCAATAAGTCTGACATTGGCAGTAGCTGCTTACTATGTAATGTACTACTTATTAGCTAGTATAAGCTCTCTGAGTGGTAATCACAACAGGGTATATTGAAGAATGTCTTTTCATCAACTCTACTCGAAGTTATATCATAGGCTCTTAGTGCTAATCAGTCAGACACTGTATTGTTATCCAAGACACTCTCGCATCAACCAGCCAAACAGCAAGCCAAGCCAATATTAGTGTGAGAGATCGACACATATAATATCCAAGTTACAACTGAAACCTGTACCCGAACTCATACACACAATGACCTTTAGTACGAGTTCTGCGCAGGCGTGAGACAAGCGATATTCACCAACTTGTCATTGAAATCAATGTTGTAAAGACTACTCATCCCAGGAGAGCCAATTTTCTTTGTATCAGCGTCGTCAATGATACCAAGGCACTGCCACCTTTTGTCTTATGTTAGCCACATTTTGCACATGATAGTCAATCATGAATCTGGACTGAACTTACTCTGTAATAAGCATTGAATACCGTCGGGAATCTCCTTAGATGAAACCTGGCGGGTCCTTTATTTTAGAAAAATATGATGTCTGTAGTAGGATATATATTCGCATTGACGACTTAAGTTACAAGTCGGGCTGGAATTCGCTGAGAGCATGATAGTCATTGTCTGTAGGGACTTGAACACTGTCTCCTTCGTAATACATGTCGCTCCATAGAGCAACCTATGGTATATGTACATTAGTACTAAGTATGCATTTGTCTGACATGAGATGGGTACCTGAGGAGTGGTCTGTGCCATGGCAAATGACAGCAGACCGAGTAAAGGAAAGAAAGCGCGAGCGAACCGAATCTTTCTGGAAGTCAAGTATCGAAGTGGTAGAGACTGCAATAAGTTTGAAGGAGCATACTTAGCTTGTGGGTTCATTACAAGGTTGATGGTTGTATAACGCAACTAGTATTTATATAATAGAGCCAACACTTCTACAAATCATTGTATCTATAGAGATATGAACAAGCATGTTCTACTGACAAATCACTGAACTGCTCCTGACGATCGTGTAACATGCCTCTCACTCCTTGCCAACTTCAGCTTCGCCACGGATTTCTTTATAGCATTGACGGCCAGTCAGCAGATGCCTATGAGATACTATCTAACATGCCTCCTCCTTGTCGCTTCAGCTGCGCCCGGACATGCTTCTTTACACTGTAGATATGTACTACCATTAGATGAACACGAGAATGTGATAACGTAGGTAAATACTACTACTAAATCGCCAGCATATGGCATGGGGATGTATGGGATGACCGTCAGTGGTATTCGACAATACCTCCAAATCATCTACTTCAAGCATGTCAGATCCAAGTTCATTCGCTATGATACATCGTAACCCCTACACAGTACTAGAAAGCGCATCGCAACCACCACTGTCCTCTCTCTCCAGTAAATTTAACTTCCAGTACAGATTGTTGCATCGTCTGCCCCAGGCATCGTTGGCCTTGAATCAATTACGCGTCATGAAGTGGCAATGAAAGATAACAAAGGAAATAGAATGATATAAAAAAATTGGGGATATGTGTATAGACCGTCCATCCTACATTACCATGCGTTGACGTCGAAGTTTTCCTGCGCGGGTTAGCAATTTAATAAAAACAATTGACTCAACAGGGTTGGTCTTACCTCGGAAAAGTAGGTTGTAACCACAGTCCGGTCCGAGAACTTCCTGCCCGCAAGCGCCTTCAGAGCATTCGTCGTCGATTCCACCGTGTCGAACTTGACAAAGATCTTGCCCACTCCTGGCGACTGTCGGCTGCCGCCTGTCGGACGGGGTACCTTCAGCTCAACTACAGTGCCGTACTTGGAGCATTCGTCGCGTACGTCATCACAGATTTCTATCCCGTTAGTCTAACGCTTCTTACATGCATCAGGCAAGCTTACCTTCGTAATCCTCGGGGTCCATCAACTCTTCCGGTGTCACCATGTTGAGCAACTGCAACACGCGGCTGGTCTCCAGGTCCTGAGACGTCGTCTTGGCGAACATCGACATCGCGTTGACGCCCATGTCGAGGCCTGCAGCCTGTGTCATTCCGATACTGGCGCGCACAACCTTGAGGTGTCTATCGCCCAGCTCCATTCCATTGAGACCTTCCACCGCAATGGTTGTTGCTGAGGGATCGGCATACTCGCAGAACGCAATGCCCTATGTATGTCAGTACACATCTTCAAACCATTTGATAAGTACCTACCCTAGACTCCTCCGTAGAACTGTCCTTTACCAAAACAAACGACTTGAGCTCTCCGAAAGACTTGAGAAGCATCGTCACAGGCTCTTCGGGGATGTAGTTGGGAATGTTGGACACGCAGATCTTGTTGGGAGAGTCAGGAACCTCATTCAACAAAACGCCTTCCTGGTATTCCTGCTCTGCTCCGCCAGGGACAATGTAATCCTTGGGTCGCCGCACTTCCAGGCCCTGAGCGGCACCATTAGCGGCCCCGTTGCCAGCAGCTTCGTGCTCCTCCATCGCTATTCCGTCGAACGCAAGCGCAACTGTAGCGTCATTGGGCGACTTGAATTCGAGCAGGGCGAACGAGTGGTCCTGGGCCACCTGGGCCGAAATGCAAGGATCCACACTCTCGATAACGTTGAGGCCATTGAGCTGGACGTTGAAGAAGGCCAAAAGGGTCTCGCCGGTGACAGTCTGGGGAATGTTGTAGACAAAAAGACGCTTGGCCTGGCGAGAGTTGGAAGGCTTGAGGGTAGATGTGTCCGCGTTGCCGCCGGCGGGCTGGTTCATGAAAGCTTGAAGGCGGCTGGGGTCCATCGGCTGCTGTCGGGGGGCTCCAGGGAGGGGGAACATGCCTGCATAATAACTACATTAGACCATATAGATAACAACGAAACATCAATCTCACCTGACAGCTTCGCCTGCTCGGCAGTAACATTCTCGTAGCCCGGAGGCTTGATATCCCACTGCGTCAGGCGACGTTTCCGATCCAGCACCGACACGATATCTGTGAGATCGGGTGTGGCCTCCCTCTTTCGAGGAGGCGACGCACTCCGTCTGCGCTCCCCTCGCTCGCCACGGTCGCGATCTCCGCGTCCACCACGCTCTGCACGCTCTCCACGCTCACGCTCGCGGTCTCCCCTGCCTTCCCGTCGGGGTCTATCCTCGAACAGATCTCTGTCTCCCCTTTCGCGGCGGGAGGGTCTATCTTCGTATTCTCTGCGTCGGCGATCACCGCGATCACCACGGTCACCACGGTCACCGCGATCCCGATCCCATTCCCGGTCGTCTCTGCGGCTAGAATAACGGTCCTCGCGTTCTCTGGCGCGGTAGTCACGGCTGGACGAATACGAATCTACCTCATATTCGCGTCGGGAGCTTCTCGAACTGTAGTGGGGGGATCTCGAACGTCTTCTCTCTCCTCTCTCTGCTCTGTCGCCGCCGCGCTCGCGACGCTCTTCGCGCTATCGTTCACTTCAGTTAGCTCCGGGCAGATACACCCTTGTTTAATTTTCACTCACGTAATAGTCCCTAGGGCGACCAGAATCTGCGAAATAATTGTTAGCCACCATATGCGGCAGTAAATGGAATGGTGAAGATAAAGCTCACCTCTGGACGTGTACGTATCGCCGTTCATTCTGAAAGCTCCGGCAATATTTCTTTGGCTCTTATTTTCCCGTTTCACGTGGCGAAAGGGATGGACAGCAAATAATGGTCGGAGAGAGATCCAACACGATCAGACACTCCGAAAGGCAAGCTCGATGGCACCGAAGGATGGAAGCAGGGTGATCGGGGAGAAAGTAAGAGCTGCGCTGGAGGGAAAACTCGCAGGTGACGATCGGCGACACTCCCGTCCGAATGGGTTAGCGCCTCTGGTCTGCGGAGTCCTGACCGCCTGCTGTGTCGGCCAATCCTCCTGGCAGAATCAACTTATCGCGATTATCGTGCCTTTCACATTCGCCTTCCTCAGCGACGGGCTGGTAATTGCTCAATTCACCTCAATTATGACTGTCGGCGCCTTTTCAGAATGGCGCAAGTTGCCAGTGAGTCTCAATGAACTCTGCATCAACACCACCCTCCGCTGTGGTCAATCTTTTCGGTAACAAAACCGCAAGTACCCTCCTCATCTTCCCCGACAATCAGTCTAACAAGGTCTCCATATCATCTACAGATGGCACAATGTCCCCGACACAGACGAATGGCGCTGTGTTCTCCACGGTCGTCTTCTCTCTCTAAAACAAGACCCAACACATCTCTACTATCGAACCTACCGCACCACCCAATCCCCCAAACCCAAAAACAATGACGACGACACCACCCTCTCCCTCCTAACCCATTACTTCAACCTCTCCGCCAACCTCACCTCCCTCTACACCGAATGGTCTGCCCAAGACCCCAACTTCCGCAAAAAAGCCCCCCAATTCACCGGCATCCGCATCCTGCGCCAAGACGCCTGGGAAGCCCTGATCTCCTTCATCTGCAGCAGCAACAACAACATTGCGCGCATCTCGCAGATGGTCGAGAAGCTCTGCCTTAACTACGGCCCCTTCATTGCATCTATCAACGGTCGCGCCTATCACGGTTTCCCGGCCCCGGATGCCCTCACCGCTACCGACGTGGAGGGTAAGTTGCGCGGGCTGGGGTTCGGGTACCGTGCCAAGTATATCTATCAGACGGCGGTGATGGTGGCCAAGGAACGGGAGGCCGGGTGGTTGGATTCACTATGTAATCCGGAGTGTCCGGCTTGGGGTGTGGAAGCTGCGCCGGTGGGTGAGATGAAGCCGGAGGGGAGAGAGGGGTATCGCGAGGCGCATGAGAAGTTGCTCGAGTTACAGGGGGTTGGGCCTAAGGTTGCGGATTGTGTGTGCTTGATGGGGTTGGGATGGGGAGAGGCGGTTCCGGTTGATACGCATGGTTAGTTACCTCGGCTGCTCCGTTTGTCATGTTCATGGTTGGATTGCTAATGGTGTGTGGTTCAGTCTGGCAGATCGCGCAGAGAGACTACAAGTTCGGAAAGGGAGGAAATAAGTCCTTGACGAAGGTTACTTATGATGCTGTGGGAAACCACTTCCGCAAGCTCTGGGGCAAAGAAGCGGGGTGGGCGCATAGTGTGCTGTTCACGGCGGATCTGAGGACATTCTCGGATCGGTTGGCTGCGACTACGTCGAAGAAGGTGGATGTGAAGGTAGAGAAGGATGATAAGGAGGGTGTCGAGGTGGAGACGAAGGTCACTACAGCTATAGCTGTACCAAGTAAGAGACCTGCAGATGATGAGGGAGTGAAGGTCGAGAAAGAAGAAGATGATGAGACCAAGGAAAAGGAGAAGCTGAACACCATCGTACAAGCTTCACAGACAACGACAACAAGAAGGATGTCGAAGCGACTTCGGAAGAAATGATATACCCTGTATAATAGTTACTACTCTATATTTAATATCATTATAGACCATACTCCAGATCCATACTACTAACGTGCTATAACTACTATTCTCTTAGGCACCAAACCTCGTGCTACAAACCAAAGCAAACCTGATCTCATCAGACATGATGATGTCTCAGTCCCTCCCTAGTCCAAATGAGACACCATCAACCAAGTCCTCCTCAAGGTAACAGTAGTATCTACAGCAGTACTATCCATCCCCATCCACGTGACAAACAACAACACCCCATTGTCTCAAAACTCTCGCATATGCCCCTCACCAATAGTAACCAAACGAACCCATCAGGATCATCAAGCAACCACCCGAACCGATTTCTTGATTTCTTGGGCTAACAACGTACTAAAGTAGGATTAGGGTAGGGTGTACGAAGTAGCAAAATACCTGCTACTCCTCCTTCGGAATACCGCTTTGGGATAACCGACAAGGCCAGCCCGGGTATGTATTGCGGTGGTTGGTGTCTTTCCCGTTCGGGAAATCTAATCACTACTTCGTTTTTAAGTACGGAGTAACAGTAAGGTAGTCATAAGTAGTTCTATGAGATATTTACTTATGAAGTAGTTACTTACGAAGTAGTAGTAATAGTCCAGTTTAGCTAAAAGTATGGTAGGGTAGGGTAGGATCATCCCGCTCACCCGAAAGCAACCAGCATTCGACATGGTCGGTAGACCAAGTAAAGTAGCCTAAAGTGTGCAGAATCAAATTAATATTGCACCTGCTGCAGAATTACCAAGGTATTCATTATCTAGTAAGGCAAGTAGGCCAATTAGTAGTTTCTACCAAGCTACACTAAGCCAACAACCGACTCCACAAGGCCAGCGAATCAATCCCCTTGACACAAGTGACCAAGCCAGCTAAGTAGTCTAGCCGGTCGGAAGACTTTCCTGCAGGGCGGGTATAATCGGTGATATTTCTTTACTTGGTAGTTATATCGTGACGTTATCAACAAGTGCAATGCAATTTCTACTGTGTAGGATGGAGTACGAGTAGGTAGATCAATCAGTAGGGTTGCGGTGAGAATCGGGATGGTCGGAAGGGTGTGGGAGTGTGTGTGCCTGTTCCACACCTTTCACTTGTGTATCTATCTGCAAGTTGATGGGCGGAGGAGGAAGAGGGGAAAAAGTGGGTTCAGGGCCGCAACGCAACCAAGGAACAAGACGAAGATCGTTCACGATAATGACGATGGAGGTCTGAACTTTGAAATAAGAGCAAAGAAAGAAGAGAGTCGCGGGGCAATTTGGTGGTCGGTTAACCTTCCGCGGCGGCCATGGCGATCATCATCAACAAGGCTTGAAGGTGTTGCCGATAATGTGTGTGCAAAAATTCAGAAGCAGAGAGTCCACATCTGCTAGGCTGCTAGCATGATGAGTTGATGAAGGGGGGATGTGGATGGCTGGGATGGTCGGTTGTTTTCGATCTCCAGTTTTCGAGGGGTATGAAGCTCCAATGATGTGGTGTGATGGAGAGGGAGAGCTACTGCGAAGAGGAAAGTGAGTTGACTCCATCAGGAGGCGGGAAGCTGAACGGCGGCACGTGCATCCCGATGTTGCAGCTGCCAGAAGTGGAAGGTGCAGGCAACTCTGCCGAGTGCTTGATGGCGAATCAATTCCCAGGCGCAAATTTCGAGGCTCAGGGCCCTCGGCCTCTTTCTTAGCTGCTTTTCTTCTGCTGCCCACTTCTGCGCTCGAGCTTCTTCCCGTCTTCTTACTCCTAGGCTCACTGCGCCTTATGGGCTAGAGGGGTCATATTGTCTCGATGGCTACTCAGTACTAACCGCCAACATGTGGCATGGAAACAAACTCATGATACAAGAAGGAAAGCACAGATCCACGATCGAAAAAGAAGTGATGGTAGTGAGAGGCACCTCGTTCTTGCCTTCTCCTGGCATTAGCATTCATGCAGATTCTGGGTACAACGGTATGGGTTCAAAGCACAAAACACATTGGTATCATTCAAAAAACAGGCTGATTCTCAAAACAGATGCACATATATGCAACCCATTCCGGGTTGGCCTGCCTGGAACAGGCTGAAAAGCTTTTCAGGTCCTAGGCGGCGGTCGGTGTAGCAGGTCCGCATATTTACAAGTCCCGCTGGCGTCGACTTGAGACTCGGTCCACTTGAGTGAATGGTGATGACGAGAATCGCGAGGCCTGAAGCAAGTATCTCTAGGTGTGCTCATGACTCGGTGAAACGACAGTCCTTTGAGACGAGCAGCATTACTCAAGGCACTTTGCCTTCTAGGCTTCATGGGACGCTCGCATTCGCAGAATCCTCGTTCCAGCCCCATTCTCTGAGCAACTGATTCACACGGTACTCGGTTGCCCAGCCGAGTTCCGTTTCGATTCCGTGAAGCAAAGCAAGGACCGTCCGCCGTTCTCCGGGCTCCGTCAGGCACTGACCACTAACAAACAGCGGCTGGAGGGAATTGATGCGGACCGCGCCGGTTGGACAAGCCAGCGCAATCCCCACAATTTCTCGGCTGTGAAATCGAATATCACTCTCGATTGAGCGATATGAATTAAGTCTATCAGCGATGGTGCTCCTTCTGCTGGTGGACTCATGCGGCTTATTTATGAGAAGAAGGATACGAGCCATATGGTAATGCTGCATCGCCGAGGAACACAGAGGTAGGCTATACCATACCTCGGACAGCGAGCCAGCGTCAAACTTCGGGTTGTCCCTGTTTTGGGGTAATTTGGAAAGCTCAACTCGGGCACAAGGCTGGAACGTCTCAGGAAGTCCACTATACCAGGCATCGAGTTCAGCTTCCAGGCGGTACCATCGCTCCAGCATTACCTGCTGTGAAAGGCCCAGAGGACCCGCCCCTATCGATCCAGGGTGGCTCAACTGGACATTATCACCGGCGTTGATAAAGTTAACAATCTTTGAGAGAATCCAAACTAAGCCATTCGAAACAAGATCTTCCTTGATGGGTTCTTCATCGTCTGGATAGCCCATCGCGGTCGCATTACTGGAGCGTACAAAGCCCATGTTGTCGATCTGGAGACCCGCCTCAGTCCACAAGACCAGGTCGTCGGTGTTTAACCTTGTCTGGCTCTCATTGATGACTATCGGGCCCAGTTAGCACCTTGAAGGGAGTTTATTACAAGTCATGTATGCACTCACAGGCAGCTAGGTAGTCTTGTCGTGCAAAGTTCCAGAAAGTCGCCTTTCTCGCCTTCGAGAGCCCCGGGACCTTGGCTTGCTGCAACGCTGTTCCCCCGGGTGAATGGCGCTGTTCGACCGGCATCATTCCCACCTCCGCTACATCCAACAAAGACTTCACGCCGCTCAGATGGCGATTCCACGCCGGACCTGTGGCATCTAAAAACTCATATACAGATAGTATAGCTGTGGCGG